AAAAATGTTATGACACCTACAGTTTTTTTAGTTTCATTTTGTAGAGATTTTCAAGACGCATCTTTTGACCTATTAACGAACATTTTACGATTACTTTATCCAAAGTTATTGACATTTTAAAAATAAATAATATTGATAAAAACCTGTTTGCATTTTTTGTTCAAAAATCTTTATGTATCTGTAAAATCATTATAATTAGATTAGAAAGCTTTTTCTTGGTGATAAACTTTTTTTAATTTTTATGCAAAACATACCCAAAACTTTTATTATTCCTAATATAGGGTGAATGCGCTAGTAGTCGGACACTTAAGGATACGATCTCATATTATGCTTTTTTTCTTGAAATGACAAATAACTAGAGTTTTTTCAAGTACATTATCAACTAAAGGAGTTATTCATGATTAAAAAATCATATAAATTTATTGCAAATGCGTCAGTATTTAATAAAATATAAGCATTTTAATGAAAAATCAGGAAAGCTTTAGTAGTTAATAAATATAAATAAAAAATCGTAAACTGATCGCAAAATATCTCCATGAGGCAGCAAAGTGTTCATGGAATGAATACAAAAATACATACTTCAACTTGGCAGCGGTTTTTTTATTATTTTTATATACACTACCGTCGGAAATTGTCGGTACGATTGACGTGCGCGGGATGAAATGTTGATGTCGCACCTAAATTAAGATATTTTAAGTTTGAGAAAAGCTAGAGACTTGAAACTTAGATCACCTGAAAGCTGATAAAATTCTGCTTCTGAATATATACCTAGAATTTTTTTCGACTTTCTGGAGCGATTATAACACTGGAAAGATTTCGAAAAAAAACGTCTAATTTTCCCAATTTCGTACCCAGTTTTTGATTCCCTGCATAATCTAGGAAAATGCAAGGAAAAATTTGTAACTCCTACAACATAATCTTTAAGATCTTAGCTTTAAAAGTAATTTTTAAGACTTAAAAAATATTGTTTCGTTTTTGAGATAAGTTGAAAAATGTCAGAGCATGTTTTTTACACAACTCAGCGTCAAAGATTAGTTCTTGCATCCCCGCTGCTTCGCCCGTTCCTTGCGCCAGGGCCGAATATGCGTGCGGGCCCCTGCTTGAAACCCGTCTTGTATTTTCTTACATTTACAGTTATTGATTATTATAAATGTTATAAATATTTTATTATTATTAATATTTATATTATTATTATTTATTATATTATATTATATTATACTATATATGAAAAATATTGTTTTGATAAATTACGTTAAATTTAATTGAATGTTTGCAAGATATTTTTTTGGTTTTAACTAATTAATAAAGAACATTGTTACATTCTTGCAGTTGTTTCATTCTCTTCTCAATAAGACAGAAAAATTAATAATAATTCAATATGTCATACAAATGCAAAAGATTAACCATACACTGTTCATATTATTGTTTTCATAATTTTTACTAAAATAATTAGTACTACAAATTAAATTTTTCAAAATTAATTACAAATTTTAAACAAAAAATTTTAAAGTTCTGAAAAAGAAGAACATTTTTCCAATTTGGTAAATTTTAAGTACAATATTAAAAAGTATTTGTTAAACTTTTAATTAACTAATAATAATAACATTTTTTAAATAAATTAATTAATATTCTAATAATCAATAACTGTAAATGTAAGAAAATACAAGACGGGTTTCAAGCAGGGGCCCGCACGCATATTCGGCCCTGGCGCAAGGAACGGGCGAAGCAGCGGGGATGCAAGAACTAATCTTTGACGCTGAGTTGTGTAAAAAACATGCTCTGACATTTTTCAACTTATCTCAAAAACGAAACAATATTTTTTAAGTCTTAAAAATTACTTTTAAAGCTAAGATCTTAAAGATTATGTTGTAGGAGTTACAAATTTTTCCTTGCATTTTCCTAGATTATGCAGGGAATCAAAAACTGGGTACGAAATTGGGAAAATTAGACGTTTTTTTTCGAAATCTTTCCAGTGTTATAATCGCTCCAGAAAGTCGAAAAAAATTCTAGGTATATATTCAGAAGCAGAATTTTATCAGCTTTCAGGTGATCTAAGTTTCAAGTCTCTAGCTTTTCTCAAACTTAAAATATCTTAATTTAGGTGCGACATCAACATTTCATCCCGCGCACGTCAATCGTACCGACAATTTCCGACGGTAGTGTAACTTACAACAAATTATTGCAATTCCTTTATTATTTCATTATGAAACATAATTGAAAACAAATATTTTAAAAATCTAAATTATACATTCGTATATAAATAAGCAAAAACTTGCCAATTTTCAAATATATTTTCAAAAAATTTAAGTTTTATTTAAAATTTTTGTGTGTAACTTTTTTCTTTCTTTACACTTTTTCTAAAATTATTATATATCACTTTACACTGTTTACTATATGAGAACAGCTGTCACTAGGCGCAGCCATATTTTGAAAACTTCTAAGTACACCGCTTTACCGCGAGAGGCGTCATAATCGGAGATATGTAATTTCGGATTTATTCTCATGCAGGGGGCCTATATGCTTAACAAGCAGTGAGTGCTCCTTATACTACTTCATTGCGTCACTAGAACTAAATTACATAATTTAAAACTCATTTTATTTACTTCATAAGACAAGAGCTTTTGGATCCTGTGCTGGCTCGTTGTTAGACTATTTTTGACGTATAAAGTACCTATTATTGTGTTAGATTATGCTTTATTTGTAACCACCTTCAGCCACCTTTTTTTAAATTTTCATTTTGAACTTTCGGATGACTGGTATGACTTAAATCTTAAATATCGTTCTAGCATATCTACTGACTCAAATATTCTGATGCTTGGTACCTATGGTTATTTTTAGTCGATGATTACGAATCTAAAGTCAATTTTTAAAAATTCAAAATGCCGGACAAATTTTTTGAAAAATCGTTCAATTTCAATGAAACTTGATATCTATGAGTTTTTGGGGTTGCTCATTTGGAATCTGATATCAATTTTTAAAAATTCAAAATGTAGAAAAACTTAGCACGTTTGAGGTTCAGTACTCGAGGGAACTTCCAAAGAATCCAATGCTACAAGAATTTTTGAAATTGAAAATGAAGATTGGGAGCACTTGTTGGATGATCTGTACAGAGATTGGGATTGGTGATCTAGTGACTTTTACCTACTTCGTCAGACATTTTGGTTTTTATTTCTCTTTCTATTGTATTAATTAAAGAAAGACGAAAAAGGAAAATAATAGTCAGAAGTTGGTAAACGCCAGATGGCGTATTGCAGTTTAGCCAATCCCAATAGTAAATAAAAAAAATTTTTAAATGTAATATAAAATATAAAGTTTTTGTTATTTTTTATCATGGCAGGAATACTTAATAAATAGATAAAGATTTTTGAAAGATGAATTCATAAAAGGAAAGTTGATAATAGGCAGGAAGAGGTGGGGGAATTGGAGCCCCTTAAAGAAAATTATTTTTAAAAAATATGCAACAATATCAAATGTTATAAATGAATCTTTTTCAATTTTCAAAGAAATAAGAAAAACCATATCGAGGTAACGAAACTTTACTGGCTGACACAATTCTCCTATTACCCCAAAGAATTTTTACAGGCCACAATATGAAAATATATAATTAAATAATAAATTTTTAACTATTTACTTTGATCTCCAGAAATATTTTCCATTTAAGAAAAAAAACTCAAAAACTTGATTTTTCCTTGTAGTTTCTTCAAATCTGTCAGAAATGTGACCGTTTCTCTTCGTATGACATACAGGAAAATTGTCGAAGTTTTCTGAGTTATTTCCGTGAAATTCAAAGTCTCTATAAGTACTTGAAATTTAACACCTTCACTGTTAGAAAAAAAATTGATACTGTGGTCCCAAAATGTCTAACAAATTCTGGTCGACAAATTTTTATGAAACTTAGTATATAAGGGTTTTTGGGGTCACTAAAATAAAATTAAAAAAAAAATTTCGTGATTTTTACTTGTTTTTTAATTGTTTATTAGTTAAAAATAATAAATAATTATTTAATTCTTACTTAACCAAATATCATTGATACCTGTAGTGTACAAAATAATAATGATATAAAAGAATTTATTTTACAACTTATAAATAGACATTTATTTGTGTCAAGATGATCACGACACAACGTATGTGTCGCTGACAGTGAAGGGGTTAAAAGCTCCCCCATTACCCCACCTTGCCCTAGAGATTTTAATACAAGAATAGTTAAGCTAAGAAAATTTATATAGGAATATCTAATGAAGGAAGTGCAAATCGAAGAGAAAGTTAATATTTAGTCATTGAAAATAGAGAAAAAAATTTAGTGGACATTATAGAAAGTAAAGGATAGATAACGTACACGCAAAAGAGTGTACTTTTAAATACAAGTGGACATTTTTTTTAAATTTTAAACTGTGAAAAAAATTTCACTTTAGAACTAAAGAACCAATTTTCCGTAGTTCATTTATAAAATGTAACTATCATTTTTGCTTTGATTTCAAATTATTTCTTTTTGAAGCTGAAATATAATGTTTTTTAAAACTAATATTTTTTTTGTTATTTTATGTTTAAGTGTTTTTAAAAATAAATAAAATTGTATATGAGGCATTCTTTGTCAACGCGGACACCCCTCTCGCCCAAATTCTTTTCATTTTAAATTCATGTTTAATGGCTTAAATTTTAATTAAAGGAATATACTTTTGAAATCTGAGTGGCATATATCCAAAAACAAAATATAGGATCCAATATAAAGGTTATTCTTTAAATTTACCAATAAAAAGTTACTCTAATTCATTTTGAACGATCCAAAAAGTAATGTTTGAGGCCTTTTTAGCCCTTTGTATTTGGAAATATGCCACTCAGATTTCAAAAGTATATTTCTTTAACTAAAGCCATTAAACATGAATTTAAAATGAAAAGAATTTGGGCGAGAGGGGGGTGTCCGCGTTGAAAAAGAATGCCTCACATTTAAAAATAAAATATAATATTTGTTAATAACTTATTTTTATTAATTATTTTACTAGTTTGATGCGGACATTATCAGATTTTCAATAACTCGCAATGAGCCAATAAGTTATGAGGATTTTCGGAAATTATTGACTGAAAGGCATGACATTGGACCTGACTTAAATGTTCACATTTTATACACTGATCCTGCTGATCACGATTTACTGCCAATCAACAATGACAACAATCTCGCAAGGGCTCTTCTCGCTGCCAAACCGCTTCTCCGAATTTGCATACAAAGAAAGGGTAAGTACAATAAATAAATAAATTTTTTGAAAACGTAACATTTTATTAGTGAAAATATTTTTACTTTCGTTTAATTAACATAAGTGAAACAGCAGTAAAATGTGTATATCTAACGGTAGGAATCCACAATTGGAGAAAAGAAAGGAGACACAATATGCAGTTTCATTGGTCATTAAATCTCTTACTAACGGCTGTGGAATGTACTCGTGAACTCACTCGGATTTTCTAAGTCATTGTTTGCCCTCCAGGGAACGAGTTCCGTCTTTTTCATTCACTTCTCTTTCTCTCTCTCTCTCTCTCTCTCTCTCTCTCTCTCTCTCTCTCTCTCTCTCTCTCTCTCTCTCTCTCTCTCTCTCTCTCTCTCTCTCTCTCTCTCTCTCTCTCCTTCCCAACTAATTTTTTTTCCTTTCAGTGATCTTCATGAATCATAGTCTTGCAAAAAACACACTTTTTTCTTACGTACGCATCGTAGTAATATTTACATTTAAATTTACAATGAGAATATATCTAATTGTATGCCAATTGTTTAAGAAAATAATAATTGAAAAGAAAAAAAATACTAACTGAATTTTTTATAATATTTTTACTCAAGAATAGATATTTAGAAAATTACTAAAATTATTAAATTTCTTATCATTGTTTAAAGGTGGTTAAATTTTTCCAAAAAAAAATTTTAATTTCTTAAAAAGAACAATCAATCTTTTGTTTTTAAACACAAATGCATATTAGTGTTCTTTTTAAAATTTACTTAAATTTTAAAACATTGTAAACCTATGATATTAATTTTAATTAAATAATAAATAATGTGCTAACTGCAAAATAATATTTACATACGATTATATAGGGAAACTTTAGAAACTTATTGTCCTGTATAAAAGAATTTATTATTTTCATTCTTTAGAAAAAAGCAAGTTAATTATTACGTCAATATAAAAGGAGGAATAGGATTGATAGTCGAATCAAAAGTTATTCATTTTGTTATTTTAAGTTAAAAAGCAAGTTATAATTAGTGAAAGAGTTTAAAAAACGATAAAATTTTTAGGTTATGTTACTGGAATTTCTATTCAACTGAACTTTGATAAAGCAGATTTTTTAATACATCGAATTTTGAAATAATACCTACTTACAATTTCCATTTAACAGAATTTACATCTAGAAAAATTTTCATAAAAAAGAATTTTTATTTACTTATATTAGAATTCTAGCTAAATTTTTAAGTCAGAGAATTTCTATTTCACCGATACTTCAATTGACAGAAGTTTTACTTATTTGAATTTTCATTCGATAGAATTTTTAAATCGTCGAATTTCCATTTGATAGAACTTTCACATATCCGATCATACACTCGGCACAAACATTTAAAACTAACCAATCACAATTTTTTGATAATTTTTTATTGGTTTATTTTAAAACTCCCGCTGATTATAAACCTAATTAGGGTGTCAAGCGGTCAGGGAATGGCAGGGAATTTAATGAAAAGTCAGAGAACCTTTTCATAATTTTTCAAAAATGAACATTTTTATGAATTTTAAAAATTTTTTAGTGCAAGAAAAAGTTTGTAATGCTAATAAATGAAACGTTTTTTTATTATATCTGAAAAATACTTTAATATTTGATACTTTTCATTTTTTTAAAAGGTATTAAATGTTTATTAAAGAAAAGTTGGAAAAACGTTAGGGAATTTCAGGGAAAAGTCAGGGAACTTTTTTCGTATTTCTTGCTGCTGCTAATGTCAGATTTGCAATATTTTTATAATTCAAATATGGTGCTAAATTTTTTAAAAATAGTCAAATTGAATATATAGTCCGACAGGTTGGATCCGTTTTTTTAAATTTTGAAAAGCGGACGTCATATTCGTAATGAGCAACCCCAAAAACCCCCGAGTAACAAATTTCAAGCAAAACTGACCATTTTTAAAAAAATATGCGCCATATTGGATGCCCCATTTTGAATTGATAAAAGACTAACATCGGATTCATAATCAGCGACCCCAAAAACCACCCGAGTAATAAGTTTTAATCTAATCCGATGAATTTAAAAAAAAGTCGCCATATTGGATCCGCCATATTGAATTTTTAAAAACTAACTTCAGATTCATAATCAGTGACCCTGAAACCCCCTAAGTAACAAGTTTCAGGTCATTTTGAATGAAATTTGAATTTTTGCCAGCTTTTTGGGAAAATGCCCCATAGTGAAATGTTATAAAATTATCAATTGTTGTTTCAAAATTCCTGTAAACGTCACAAGACAGGGTTTATTTGAAAAAAATAGTCGATTCAATTTTCTTCAACTATGTCAATTGCAGTAAACGTTGATAGTTTTTATTATTAAATAAATAAATATTATTTAAATAGTTTTAATTTTTTGTTCAGGTGATGACATCGACGACACAAATGGATACGGAACGATGAAGCCGAAGAATCTAATCTCGAGTATTTTAGGTGGTACACCTGCAAAGGCAAAAACTCCCATCATATCGAATCCTCATGATTTTCGACAGGTACACTATTTTTTTTAATTTTAAAATATAATTTTAAGATTAGTACACGGTGCAACAGCAATTTTATTTCTAGGACCGCATAGGGTGATTCTCATAGGTTTTTTTGACACTGAACACGAATCCGTAATCAGAATTGCTCCATTACCCTAAGTTATCGAGAAATTTGACTTTAAAAATTGAAAAATGCCGTTATTAGGGTACTTTTTGATTTTTATGACGGTATAATAATATATTAAGCAACCAGGGTCGAAAGGCAGCCACTGTTTATGAGAGTTTGCAGCGGGAGACGTGAATGAGTGTTAGCATTCGTCAACGTAAACAATTGACTGCCTTTGGACCCATGTTACTTACAATATTTTTTATTCCAAAGACACAAACGTCGCGCTTTTAGACTATCTGTCTTTATTACACTGAGAGAAACAATTGGTTGTTATTACCATTTAGTTTGTCAGCCTAACCATTTCGTTAGTAAGGTTACTAATTAAATAGTTATTCCAACAAACTAGTTAGTTAAACCAACTAATAAAATAGTTATGTCAACCAATAAAAATAGTAACTACAACTAATATATTAGCAGCAGTATAGTTTACTAACTAAAAATGGTCACCTCAAAAATTGTTACCCCAACCAATCTTTTCTCTCAGTGTATTATAATAATTATTATAATTACAGAATTAAATATTTTTTCGTATATTTTTGGTAAATAAAATCTTATATTATTTAAAAAAGCACATTATTCAAATCCGACCAAAATTAAAATATACAGACACTTTTAAACAAAGAGTTGCAAAAACTCTCTCTATAGCGCACGGTGCATGGTTTAACCCAAAAGTGTCGCCCCATCCAATTTTGCTTTGAATTCTCATTCTAGTATCAGAATTGAGTAATTTAAGCGAAAAATGAAAATCTTCTATGGAAGGAATAAAAAGAAAACTCATGTTTTAATATTTTTCATTTCAATTCCATTAGTGTCATACACTAGAAAAAATGTTGAAAATAAGCATGTCAGATCGCGCTACCAGACATTTAAGCGCCTGTTGACCTACAGTACAAGTAGGTACATCCATGTTTAGTACGTTATATCACTGCTTTGTATTATTGGATTAAAATAAAACTCATACTTATTTGTTCAAAATTTAGTCTGCTTCAAAAATGTATTCTTAAAGATTAATGTTTTTTGCATGCTGATAAAGTTACGGCTCAATTACTACATGGAAAACGTTTTTTTATGTTGTTTTCTGAAATTCTAACGGCCATATCTTCTTGTTCACTAAAGATAGAAGTTTAATTAAACCACCAATTTGTAGGGAATTTTATAAACTTTCAAATGAATATTATAATCTTTACAATTAAAATAATAGATAAAGTGATTAGGCTTAAAAACCAACAAAAAACGCTGTTTTTATGGATTATAAATTTACAATTACTTTTTTTTCATCATAATTATATAAATGTTGCTTAAGGTGAACGTACAAAAATTTTAAGCTGAAATTTTAACCGTGGGTGGTTATGGATGTAGCTAGAACAATTAACCTACAAAAAATTACGAAAAATTGAGTTTTCTTTTTATTCCTTCCATAGATTTTCATTTTTCACTCAAATTACTCAATTCTGATACTAGAATGAGAATTCAAAGCAAAAATAGAAAAAGGGAATACTTTTGGTTTAAACCTAATCCAAGAGCACCGTGAGCGCGTCAATATAGTGCTGCAATTAAAAGTTTGACATTAATTAATTCAATTCAATGTTTACAGTTTTTGCTGTAATTAATTAATAAATTGATATTGAAATTTCCTCAGTTGAGATTTGAGGAAAATAGTAGTAAAAATTGAGGAAAATTGTTTGATATTTTGTTAATAGGTTTCTGCGATAATTGACGTGGACATTTTGCCGGAAACATGTCGCCGTGTTCGATTATTGAAACACGGTTCTGACAAGCCATTGGGATTTTATATCAAGGACGGTGAGAGTTTTCGAGTATTGCCACCATCGGCAGGAAGTGGAATTGAAAAAGTACCCGGAGTTTTTATCAGTAGATTAGTGCCTGGCGGTTTGGCAGAAAGTACCGGACTTTTGGCAGTCAATGATGAAGTCCTAGAAGTCAATGGTATTGAAGTCGCTGGCAAAACTCTCGATCAGGTATTCTTTTTTTTCTAATGATTTTATATTTTTTTAATCAAATTTAATTTTATAATTTTTTCAAATCAAACAAATATTTTTAATGTACTATGTTATAAAATTAATTTCGATTTAGAGAAAATGCAAATAATAATCGATTTTTTTTAAATTGCAGTTACATTTTTGTACTGAAAATTATAATTGAGTAGCAAAAGTCGTCTTCCATAAATACAAAAATTTTGACTTATATTCTAACTGGCTGCATCGTTCTTATTATTATTATTATTATTATTTTCATCAAAAAGCGTATTACGCAATTATCTTATAAAAGAATGTAATGAAATATCAGTAAAGTAAAGTAAAAAATAATAATTTTTGAATATTTAGGGGTTAAAAAATCGTTTTTTGAATTTAAATTATTTTGAATATGTAATTTATTATTAAAGATTTTGAAAATTGTTGTAAGAATTTATTTTAATTCTGGTCTTGCATAAGTGGCATTTTTGAACTTAAAAATGTTTTTTTTGAAATTCTAATCCTACTTATTATTTTATCAAAAAAATTTCTGTGGTACAAAAATTATTTTTTTGAAAAAACAAAATGGCATTGCTAACTTTTTGCGTGTTACTAACGATTTTTGGAAATCTCTTTAAATTAAATTTGTAGACTCAAAAATCCTGAATTAATTGGTCACGCCCACCTCTCTCCTAATAATAAATAGATTTTTAATAATAATAAATAATATAATATTAACGAATTGAATTTATTAAGAATCAAAAACATCGACTTTTTCCAGACTTTTGTTTATAATGTAATGCGGCTTAAAAGGGTTCCAATGTCTGCGAAAAAATCTGAAATGTTAGTAGGTTAAAAATTATGAATATATTCAAATATTTATTTTTTTTGTCAGGTGACAGACATGATGATTGCCAATTCATCGAATCTAATAATTACCGTAAAGCCGGCCAATCAACGAGCAGCTTTGACTGCACCGCGACGAGGTTCATTTTCGCGAAACAGTCAAGTGTCATCAGGAAGTCACCAATCAACGCAAAGTGCAGCTACTGGCAGTGACGAAGACGCTGATGAAATTGTCGATTTGACTGGCGTGACGCTTCATGACGACGCAACCGGTTCTTCCTCCCATCATTTACACCATCATCATCATTCACACAATCATTTTAGCCATGATCAGGGAGTATTGCATCTTTAAAGAAAAATAAATAATGAGAATAACGGAAAAAAACTATCACTTTTCCGAATTCACGTCAATTAGAAACGTTCAATTTTTTTTTACCAGAAACTTTTTCCCCCTTTTTATATATGAAAAACAGTTTCTTTAATAATTGAGAAACTCTTCCTTGAGCCGGAAATTGTTTCATTATAATTATTGAAAAATATAAAACGATTTTGTTTGTTTGTTATTTTGATTAAATTTGAGAGGGAGCTTTAGTGCGTTTTTGAAAGCAAAAATCCACTTGGGAGTTAATCTATTTTAAAGATTAAGATTATTAAAATAATGAGACGAAGGAATATTTTCTGGAAATTTCGTTATATTGAATTTTCAGTCAATTGAAATTTCTAATATTGTATTTATATAAATATTAAATATTGACGAATATTCACTTAATTGAACTAGAACTCTTATTATTTTTAATAACATTATTCTAAGTGATAAATTCTTTAAGTTAGAAGAAAGTGACTGTGAATATGTTTTTCTTAAATGATAATAATGTTTATTGAACTTTTAGTTGTGTGATATTTTATTTAATTTGACTTTAAAAAATCATTTTATTACTTTAAATTTTCATTGAACATTTGATTGAAATTACGCAAGAATAATTTTTCATTTCTTTAAAAATTATATAATTCCTTTTCAAATGTTAGAAATTTTTTTATATTATTTAAATATTAAATTTTATTATTAATAATTATTATTATTTGTTTGTGATATCTTTCAAAATAGTTACAATTTTTTTTACTCTTTTGAGTATTTTTTAAATTTTGTGGATAATTTAAAACAACGGTAATGATTTTCAATTGTTTAGACTGTAAAGAAAAAAAATTATTTTTGAGTACAAAAAAAATATGTATTAATTTTAAAGTGTTTTGAGTATTATAAAATTATTTAAGTGATTTTTTTAAATAAAATTTTTAAGTTATTTAAGCACTTGTGAAATTATTATTTTTTCTTACATTATTTCAGTATTATTTGAGTATTTTCACATTTACTAATTTAAAAAAAAAATGTTCAAAAACTTAAAATATTTCTAATAATTTGAAATTTTACCAATTTTTTAATTATTAACTTTCAAATAATTTGTCTGTTTTTTCTTTGAAATTTCTTGGGTGAGTATTAAAAAATTATTTGAATATCTTTCCGGTTATGTTGTATGAAGAAAAATTAGATATTTAAAAAAATGATTTAATATTTTTTGAAGTCATTTTTTGTTTACTTGGAAAATGTTCTGTACGTTTTTAGAAATTTTTCAAAATTCTTGAGAGAATAATACTAAAATCATTCAATATTTTAAAGAATATGATTTTTTTTACAAAAATTACAAATTAAAATTAATTTATTAGATTAAAAATTTTGATTGAATGAAAATTCGATGAAACATTTATTTTTTTGAGAATATTCAATCGTCTTAGAATTTAATAATTATGCTCAATGCTACTTTTTAACTGCTCCAATTTCTTTACAATATATATTATATATATAAATATATACATAAATATAAAAATATATATTTTTTAAATTATAGAAACTTTGAATGAATTACAAGAAATCAAGTATTAATCACAGCGTCTCAAAGTATTAAATCAAGTACTTAATTAGGGATCAAGTGTACTTAAAATGAGGTGAAGAGTCGCTTTACGTTTTTTTCAATTTTTTTTTTTTTGTTTATCGGCTCACTACGGCTGGACTGTATTTTGATCCGGCTTTATATATTTATCTCCTATTTTACCCCTTTTTAACTGCATCGAATTGTACATAATATAATAATGAAAAATAAAATAAAGAAGAAGACGAGTTTTTTGCTAAATAAAATCAAAAGAAAAAAGAGCAAATAAACTTTGAAGGATCGAATTAATTATATAATTATTGTCTTTGTAAATAAAAATCAATGATCCTCAAGAAATGAACATTTTTTTATATATAGATTTTACTAAAAAAATTAATAAATAAAGGGGCCTTAAATCGTCTTTTGGTTATGATTTTTGAGAGGAAAAAAAATCGTATGTACTTCGAGTTATTTTTTTTCTCTTTCTTCTTTCTTTTTTCTTTTGCACGAATTTTATTCTTTATTTTATTCGTGTTTCTGTTTTAATTTTAAAAAAATGAATGAATACTTAGTACGTTGAAGTTTTCGAATTTTAAAAAGACCGTCTTTTTACAAATGTTACTTGTTATCTAATCGAGCAATAGATATTAAATCCTAACGTATTTTAACGAATTTTTTAGATTTTAAGAATTAGTTCTTGGAGAATACTTGCCCTGTATTCGTGTATATATTTTTAATGAGTTTATATATATTGATTTAATAATGCAAGAAAAAAAAAAAGATTTTAATGAAACATATCAGAAACAATTTTTAATAGGGTTATTTCAAATTCATTTATATTTTTTCTTTTAATTTTGAAATCTTGGAAATTGTCTTTAAATTAAAGTTTTTCAAGTAGAAGTTTCCTTTTTTTGTAGGAAAATTTCTAAACACTTCGAGAAACGAAATTTTTTAAATTTTATAAAAGAAATTAAAAAAAAAGTTTTTTAATATTTTTCTTACCTATATATATTTGTCAAATGAATAAAAATATTTAAATTAAATATTTCGCAAATTTGTTTAATATTTTTAAAAAGTTAAAAAATTTTGAGTACTCAAAGATTTTTATTTTTAATTTTTCAAAAATGTAAATTTTGAGTCAATAATTCGAGTACCTATGTTTAAACAAAGTCGATTGAAAATAAATTTATTAATAACATTAAATAAATGAAATAATTAATAAATTAATTACTTAAATTATTTTAGAAATAAATTATTTTAAATAAATTAGTTTTTTTAAATAGAAATATGTGAGGGAATGGGGTTTTTTTGTAATATTTTTGAACAAAATTTTTTGATGAAATGACCCTATTTTTTTAGAATTTAGGATAATATTATTGAAAAATACTCGAAACTTATTAAACGAAAAAAAACAGATAAATGCCTATTGGCTGATGTTAAGAAAAAAGATTTTTTTTAATTGTATATAAAAAAGCGAAGCTTCTGGAAGTGCCTTCGGAAAAAAACGGAAATTATCTTTTGTAACAATTTACGAAATACATATTTTCGTCACACATTCCATTTTCGCATATGAAGCAAGATTAAATTTTCTGCTCGATTTCACGTTTCTTTGACTTTACTTCCTTTCCTGTGATTTGTAAATCAACTTAAATAGCGCTTGACGAAATTAAATTTTATATGAAAATTATTGTTTTTATTACATATTGTAAAATTTGAAAAATACTTAAATCTTCCATTAAGTTGAGAGAAAATTTTTTTTTTCTATTTTAAAAAAATCATTAATTTTGAATTAATATGACCCATATTAATAATGGCCTTTTAAAATGTTTTTTAAAAATAGAGAATTAAATAATTAATTAAATACTTTTTAAAAAGATTTAAAATAATTTAAGTATTTTTCAAATAAGTTTTGAAATTTTATTTTTGAAATATGAACAGATTTGAAACAATTTAAGTATTTTTAAAAAATAATTGAATTACTTAAGGAACAAAAATTTTTGTTTTTTCGAAGAATTTGATTATTTTTCAAATTCTTTTGTTCCCTATATGTGATGTGAAAAAAAAATATTCTCAACGAAAACATATCTTTGGAAATTTTTAACGAACATGAAGCTTATTATTTCTTTATACTGAAATATAATCTTTCAAATCGACTACTCTGTAATACTTAATCTAATTATTTTTAATGGCGATGTAATAAAAATATTTTACTCTACAAAATCTCTTATTCTATTGACTTTAAATTTTTAAAATAATTATATTTAAGCCTATAAATTAATCATTGTTATGAAAACTAATCGCAATCGTTAAATAAATGAACTGATCGATAACAATAATTTAATTAATTAAATTTTTTTCATGTAAATTTATTAATATTATTATTACTTTTTTTTCTTATAAATATTATTTATTAATTTTTAATCTCGTTAATTAGTAAATAATTATTTCAAATTAAATTAATTACAATAATTCTTATAATTTATTTATTAAAACAATTTGAATTTTAAATTTGATAAAGAAAAATATTTTCAATGCTTAGATTGTTTTTTGTTTTTTTTTTTTGGTTACTAAGGATTGAATAAACAATTTTTGACAGATTACCAGAAAGCAAAATAAACATCTTCGACTTTTGCTTTTTTTCTTAAAAAAATGAAAAAATCGGTATAAATTTATTAATTATTATTGCATGTGTCGATAAAGTTACGTTGCGAAAAATTAGTGTGAAGGATAAGATTATTTTGTGATTTTTGAGAAAATTTTCTAAAAAAGAAAAACAAAAATAAATATTAAAAATGTCATATATTGATCATGGATCACGGATTTTTAGTGGCGCAAATGGATTATCAATGAGTTACGGGGATTATGTTTTGCCGAGAAAAAGGTCAGAGGGCCGATTAAAAACTCATGACTCCTGTTCTGATATAAGAGCATGGAGTTTAAATCCCACGGAAAATTCACGATATTTTCGAGAACTGGCTGAAGACATTCCAAATGTTTGTTTTTTAAATTATACCTTTTTAGTACAAAATAATACTTTTTTTATTTTTCATTTTTGTTTTATTAAAAAAAATATACAAAAATAATTGTAGGTTATAATTTAAAAATGAATATTCAAACAAAAAAATCGTATTATAATTTACCGAAATTAATGAATTAAAATTTATTTTAACCTGAATAGTTAAGAAAAGGCTAATTAATTTAAACAATCTTTAATTATTATTAATAATAATTATTAATTATATAATAAAAATTAGTATATATTTTTGAAAAAACATTTTCATTTTATTTGTTTCTAATAATATTATAAATTGAAATATACAACAAAAAAAGCTTTCTTTGTGAAAATTAATGAAATTTAAATCAATTTTAAGCAGAGTGGAAAAGTTGTACCTTTCAATGTCTTGATAGATAATTTGATCAAAATGGGATCACAAACGCAAGAGGAACTTGAATCAGTAAAAAAGGAACTGGAAAATTACAAATCTTTGAAATTAACAGTCAAGCAGAAAGAAGAACTGGAAAGATTCGTAAGATTCATTAATTTTGTTAATTAAATTAATTTTTATTATTATTTTAATTTTATTAGTAATATTAATATAAAAGAATTCCGAATTTAGTTTTTAGTAATTTTTAAAAATTTATTTTAAAATTCGACTTTTTATCAAATTTTATTTCAAACTTTGAGAATTATATTTTAATTATTATATTTTTCCTCAGTCCCATAAAGGTTAAGTATTGGAGAAAATCATTAATATGCCAACATTTTTTTTTTAAAGTTTAATTATTATTTAGGAATTGTTAAAAAAAACTTGTATATTTCTTGGGAATTCTTGACAATTAATTATCTAAAGAAAAATTCATTACAGGCAAATACATTCGACGACGGAAATAAAGTGGAAAAAGAGAAGAAAACATCGCTTTTGAAAATGATAAAAGATACATTTTCGAGTAATGATGGTGAGATACATATTCTAATATTTTTCTTTTTTACTCTTCCCTTCACAAAAAAAAAAATAAAATTACAACAGTAATTATTTTTAAAGACGTTCATTTTCGAAAATGCATACCTTTAGAAAAAAATATTTAATTCACGTTTACAAAATTAAAATAACAAATTTTCACTTAAACAAATAACCATATTCAAAAAACGGTGCACTTGTATAAAAATCCCTGTGGTGACGATAAATATTTTCTAAAGAAAATAAGCCATCATTCAATTAAATCGGATCAGTTTTACAAAATTTTAAAAAAACGTTATGATGAAAATTTTTATTATATACCTAATGTATACCTAATTAAGTAAATTTTGTAAGTTGTTAATTTTTTTTTTGAAAATTGGCATCTGTTATTTAAGCAGATAAGTATTATTAATAATAATATTTTAATTTTTTAAACGTCAATTAAATATCTTTTTCTGGAGGTCTGCATTTTTAAATATAAACTTCCTTAAGTATTGTCAAACTTTTTTCTCAGTTATTAAAAAAAAAAAAAAAAAATTATCAGATGCAGTTTCAGATTTCGCTAGCGATAATATAGATGTGTCAGTTCAAGTAAAACCACTAGTTACTCAAACGGCTGTTCAAAATGATTCCTCCGTATGTGAGAGTGGAAAAACAACGACAGATGTTAGTTTTTAATATTTAGTTTATTTTTCCACAATTATTTAATAAATTAGTTTTTCGATTTTTTGGAAGACGTAAAGGTAAAAGAAAAAACAATCTTTCACTTTTTTAAAATTTAGACAACGTTTCGGTGGTCTGGTTCGCCACCATTATCAGGTCACTTTAATAAAAAAATATATTCAAATAAAAACAACACAGTTTTCTTTATTAATTAATTTTGTGTTAGGTCTTTAGTTTTTCAAAACAATGGAATGTCTTTAAAAATAGCAAAAAAAATTACAAAATTTTTTAAAATAGTAAAAATTAAATGCTAAACTTAATTTTAAAGTTGATTAGTTTACATTTATTAGTATAATTATGATAAATATTTATTCTGATAAATATTTTATTTCATTTATATAAATTAAATTTTAAAGAATTTTTCCTGTTCTTTTCAATGATAAAAATATATTTTTTTTAAATTAAGTCTTATTTTCATCTCATCTCTGGCACTTTTTTTTCTTTCTTTTATTTTTTAGTCGAAAGCTGAGATTTTTGCCAATCGTATATGTAAAAATGACAATGTCAAATCAATGGGTTTTCAATAAAATTTAAATAATAGTGTAACTAAATTGGTATTTCTAATTTTTTCTTTAAAAATGAATAAAAAAAAACTTTTATACTGCATTCCATGTCGAAAAAAACTCTTTTTTGATTTAACGTTGAAAATTTAATTTTTTAATTTTTGATGATCCGTTTGAGAAATTCTGACCCATAAATAAAAATTTTTAAATTTGTTATAGTTCTACGTATTTGAAAATAACGGTATCACTTGAAACGTCAAAATTTCAACTTCAACTATTTTCTAAAATTTTTTGTAAATGAGCTAATATTTTAAAGATTTATTACTCTTATGTAGAGCAACAATTTTCCAAAGTTACAAAAACGAATGAAATAATATCACTTTTTTTATTCAAGCAGTTAAGGAATAATGCCTCATATATTTATTTTAAATCGAATAATTGACTCAAAAATACATTTTCAGTTTACTTCCTCAACGTCAAAATCAACATTAAGAGACGAGAAGTCATTTTGTTCTGTAAATTCGGAATTTGAAAATGAGAGCGTCAGTGAATCGGGTAGATCAATTTATGAGACAGAAGTCAATAGATCAATTATTATTGAAAAAGATTCCAAGATAATTGCACTTGAAAATGAAGTTGAGGTTAATAAAAACAATTTTTCATTTTTAAATAAAATTTAATAAAAATTAATTTTATAAAATCGATTTTTTCTAATTGTAACAAATTTCTTCTTTTATTTATTTATTTAATAATAATTCCATTTACTTAGATTTATACAAATTATTACTTATAGTAAAAAAAATTAAAATGGAAAATTTATATTTTTTATTACATATTCTAATAATTGCAATTAATTATTTGCCTTAATTTAGGCGAAAAATGTTGAATTAGAAGAAAGGGAAGAGAAAATTAATGGCATGAGAATCACTGTATTAAGTATGAAAGTAAGTTATCATTTTTTAAATTTAGAAAACAAAAACCTTAAAATTTGGAAATCAATCATTAAATTTATAATTTAAAACTTCGTTCTGTTAAATTAAACATTATAATTTCATATTTATATTTGAAATTAAACTATTTTTTAAAGATGAAATTCTTTATTAATTTATAAATACTAATTTCTTGATATGTTATTATTAACAATAATTATCGTTCTAACCATTTTTTCCAGGATGTTATTGATCAAAAGTCTTTCGAAGTTGAAGATTTAAAAACTAAAGTATGTATTTTTATTTATTATATTAACCCATTAATGCCCATAGCCAGAGAAAAGCAAATATCGAAAAAGAACTATCGGGATCCTAGTATAATCCCTAATAATAATGTTTGATGTTAAAAATTTAATAGAACAAATTTTTTTTTAAACAATTTTTTTAAAACTTATCCTCGTTTATGCGTTTATAATAAATTATTTTTAAAAAATGTTTGCATAAAATTTGTAACGTCAAAAATAATCTTTAGGGTTTTTTGCTAGGATGTTTATTCGATATCTACTTGTCTTTAGCTATGGGCATTAATGGGTTAAAGATTATTTTTTTTATTAAAAATATAATCACGAAACAAGGAGGAAAATGTTTTTCTATTTTTTTAATAAATTTAATTTCATTTAAGTTGAAACTAAATAAACTTGAAAAAAGAAGATTGCAAGAATCTCTCAATAATCAATGTGTTGTGTCGGATGCTCAATTGGAAGAAATAAATAAACTTCGATATCGTGTTAATCATGAGGAAATTATACAAAGCAATTTACTTGTAATTTGACGTAAATTAAAAAAAAATAATAATCTGACATCTTAAGCAAATTAATTTCAGAAAGAAAAAAATGATTAAAATTTAATAACTTTTAAAAATCATACAGAGAGAATTGGATCAAATGCAAAAAGATCGTGATTCTTTTAAGAGAAAAATTGATGAAATGCAAAAGGAAGTAAGGGAAAAAACAGATATTCTTTGTGACAACGAAAGAGAATATCATGAGTTATTTCTATCGTGGGAAAGAACATCGGAAGAATATAAAACATCCAAAGTATATTTTATGAAAATTTGTTTTTTCACCTTTAATTTATTTACACTGGTACCTCGATTATTGGGATTTCTCGAACACAGTGTAACTGTGACAAAAAATTTTCTTTCGAAAAAAATGACCAAGTAAATTTCATATGAAAATTCATTTTTCTATAAAATACAGGTTTTTAAAAAATATTAAAACTTTATTACACTAGTAACTTGATTATTGAGACCCCTTAAAAATTTTAAACAAAATCTGCTAAAATAACATTTTTTTTAGTAATAATTTCGTTGAACTCGATTATTGAGACTATGAAATGAGATATAATATTTTAACTTTAAAATTAATTACTATGTAACCTCTATAATTGAGAGTCCTTGAAAAAGTGCTTTAGTTTACTAAAAATGTGCTTTAAATAATTTAATAATTAAACGAACTTACCTAAGTGAAGTTCTATTATAATTGTACGTAGCGCCTCCTCCTTTAGATCACTTATTGTAGATGTTGAAAGGAGTACGGAAACAAGTATTAATTTATATATATATATATATATATATATATATATATATTTTATTTCTAACAATTTTAAAAATCTTATCTACTTGATGTATAATTATAATATATAGGTATTATAATACATAATATAAATAATATTAATATAATATTATTAATTAATAATAATATATAATTATAATTATACTTATGTACTAAATAATTACAAATAATTAAATTAATTTTAAATAAAAATATTGAAATTAGTACTAAAAAATATAAACATATAATAAAAACATAACAATAAATGAAATATAAAAGTAAGAAAATTTTTAATTCAATTAATTCAATAATTATTCCTTTTTTAAAAAATCAGAAAGAAATCTACTATTATATTTTACCATTCGACAAATATTGAGAGTCGATAATGAAGTGTCACTCATTATCATAATCTTCTCTTCTTTACCCATAAAATGTCAAGTACAGCAGTATACTGTCAGTTAAAAAGTGATTTTTCGGAAAACTCTTTTCTATTCCTCGATCAAGGTATTTTTATACTTTCTTTTTCTGTATATATCAAGAATTATGCATTTTCTACCGTTTTTTCAATGTTTCAATAGTTTTTCATATATTATTTTAGCAGCTTTTTAGACACGAGAAATAATGCGGATGATTGGGCATAATGCATTGGACAATTGAACAAACACTCCAATTGTCCAAATGTATTTTAGACAATTGAGCAAACGGCTTTTGTTCTTCAGGTTGACTAACCTGATTGGGAGAAATATTAAACGGAATGACATAACCCTGAAGCCACTTTAGGACAACTTTATCAGTAAAAATTTCTTTCCATATGGGCGAAAATACCTACCGAAGAATTTAACGACGTTTCTTGTAAGAAGAACTTGTTGCGTGATTCCTGACTGGTAGATAGTTCGGTTTCCGATAACTGGATGGCTTCTGCTGATTTGTTGGTTTCACTTGGCCCTTCATCCCCATCTGACGATATGGTGTTTAACGAGGAGGGCCTTTCGAGTTTTTTGATGCGAATGATGTTAATTGGGTCTTTTTTGTATTTTTCAAATCTTTTGATGATTTTTCCAATAATTTATCATTTTTTAATGTTTAGTATCATTTAAGATTTCTTTCATGGATGGATTTAAATTAGAGATAATGATTAAACGCCTTGTCAATGTTTCATCTCGCTGAAGATCCACTAAAAGTCGCGTAATATCACTTAGGGTTGAAATAAGCGATAATTGATCTATTTGCTCTTTTTTTGATAATTTTGTCAATAAATCACCCGACGCGTCCAAACACACTGACACCTTTTTCTGTTTTTCTTTAATTTTTTCGTCCCTTTTAAATAAAGGTTCCAGAAGTGAATTTTTTATTTCAGCGTTGAGTTTTGGTGGTTCAAACAGATTACAGTTTTCAGGAATTGGATACTTTTGAAATATTTCTTTTATTTCTTCTTTAGGCAATCCTTTTTTCAAAATATCAGTCCAGCGAATCACAATGTCGTTATGGATTGGTGTTCCTTTCTGATTATCAGAAACTAACCGTTTTCCTAAAGCTTGTAAAAATGTTGGATCCAAAGTTTCTGGAGATTCTTCAGTTTTCTGTTCTGAAGGATCCTTCTCTTTTAAGGGATTCTTTTTTCCTTCTGGAGGTGTGACTAGTTCTAATATTGGAGGAGAACGAGAACGGCTTCTATAATTTTGAGAACCTCTATAAGATCTACTTGTAGATCGACTCGAGGAGTGGTATCGAGAATAACGCTTCGAATTCCTTTTATTACTTTTATCATATGTTGTCCGACTGCGAGATCTGTATTCAGAATGATTTGGAGAGGGACTGCGTGAAAAATCCTTACGACGACTTTGTGATCGTCTATTTCTGTGTCTCGAATTTCGAGAATATGATGAACTTCGACTTGATGAATTTTCATCCGATGATTTGTTGTATCCTGAAAAGAGTGATTAATTTAGGATCTTGTCCTATTTCCAAAAATTATGGAAATGAAAACATTGTTTTCAGTAGGAAACTTGTTCCAAATTAGATGCAGAGAAAACTCAATATCATAAAAATAATGTAATTTTTTATTTATTTTTTATATATATTTTTTGTTTTGTTTAGGAATCTTGTTCCGTATATAAAAGAAATAAAAAAAAATCTGTTAAAAAATAATTTAATTACTCGATGTTAACTCGATGTCTCAATAATCAAGGAACGCTCAATAATCGAGGCTCTATTGTATTAAAAAATAATTGATTTTTTATTTTATTTTCTTAAAGTATTTTATTAATTTCTCGTTTTAATTTTTTACAAGGCGAAAACCATGGAAGTGTTAAAGGCTCTTGAATACGAAATTGATGAGAAAAATAGAGTTATTTCAAAATGTGAAAAGAAAATTTTAAACGTTGAACAAGAAATTGGTGATATTTTCGTTATGCTTCAAACAAGTTTAAGTGAAATTGAATTTATCGATAAAGGCGAAATGAATCTTGATAATTGTCAAAATGACAATATTATTTTACAAACAAAAGCAACTGTTAGTAATGTACATCTTCTTATTAAATTTCTTGAAACTGATCGTAAAGAATTACAAAAACAATTGGACGAAGTTAAAAGTGAGAAGAAAAATGAAACCGTTTGTGCGGGTAATTTCAAAATGATTTATTTCAAATATTATATGTTAGTTTTAGTAAAAAAAACATTTTTTAAAAAATGAATTGAATTTTTCATCATTTTTAAATTATTTTTTTTACATATTTTCATAAAATGTTTACTTAGTTTAATTATTAAAATTTTGGTTTTATAAATTATACACAGAAACTAATTTTTATTCCTTTTAATTATATTTCTTATTATTTTATTTTGTTTTATAAACAAATATTTATGAATATTTATGAAAAATTAAAATTACAATATTGGGTCAGAATTTCTCAAACGGATCACCTAAAATTCAAAATTTTTTTTTTTTAATCAAAAATCATTTCTTTTGACTCCTTACATGGTAAAAATAAGTCCCTGAAATTTTTAGGTCAAAAAAAAATTTTTTGTTAAAGTTATAAACAATTGAAATTTTTTGCAGTCTTATTTTAAAAAATTTTTTCGTCGACTTCCTGTTCACCAATTAAAAAAAAGGGTTTTTCTCGTCTTAAAATGTAGTTTCTAAATATAATTTTTATTTTGAAAAAATTTCATATTTAATAGATTTTTATATTATTTATTTATAAAATGGTATTAAAAAATAGTGTTCTTGACGTCCTACAGAAAATTAATTTTTTTTTTTTTTGAATTCCCCACACAATTTTGTGTAAGAAACCGTTGAGAAAAAAAATGAGACAAAAAAAAAATTTCTGAATTTTAGGTGATCCGTTTGAGAAATTCTGACCATATTTTCAAATAAATTGTTTTTGTAATAAATATATAATTTATCAGTTTGTGATGCGGGGACTTATGTAAATTATGAAAGTTCCATAGAATTTGAAGAAACACCAAAAGAAAGTGAAATTGAAATTCAAAACTTGAATGATGATAAATGCTTATTGAATAAACTTGCTAACAATTCAGAAAATAGTCAAGTATTTCGTTTGTTTTATTATCTATTAAATTTTTTTTATTTTAGTTAAAAATTTGTTTAATTGATTTATTAAATTTTTAAGAAAGTCTAATGTAATTTTTTATTTAAATTATAAAAATAGCAATTGATTTAAAATTTTTAAATATTCTTCATTCTATTAATTGCAAAAAATTATTGAATAATAAAATATTATTAAATCTATCTATCAATCTATCTATCTATCTATATATATATAAAATCAGACTTTTGTCTGTACATTGCTCAGAATTCAAAATTTTTTCTATAGTTTTTCTTCTTATACACTAAAAAATCCGAAAATTACAAAGAAAAAAAATGTCTGTATGTATGTTTATTTGCATTTGAAAAATAAAAAAGTCTCAGTTTAAAATAAACATTATAAGAAAATAAAATAAAAATAATAAAATTAAAAAAAAAAATTTTGTGATGCATTATTGCCCAAGTGAAAAATGCCAAGACTGCCAATACGGCCCAACATTGTTCCAGTAATGTCTGCCGAAATACGGCAAACGTTACTGGACCAGTACTGGCGATCAATTCGTCCCATTACTGATCCAATATTGGCACCGATTTTCGGTAACTCCACACTGAAAAAAGGGTTTGGTATTGACAACCAAACGTTTGGTTGGTATTTAAGCAACCAAAATTTTTTTGTTGAATCGACAAAACTTTAATTGTCTCAATAAAAATTTGTTTGACACAACCAAAATTAGAAAAAAAGGATTTTTGTTGTCCTAACTAAAGTTTGATTGGGACAACCAAAATTTTGTTGATTCAATAAAAAAAATTTGGTTTCTTCATATACCAACCAAACGTTTGGTTGTCAATACCAAACCCTTTTTTCAGTGCAATTTGTCATAATTTGTCCGAATTCCGTCACAATACTGAACCAATATTGGCACCAATAGTTAATTAATTAATAATTATTATTTTTTAACTTTGACAATACTGGGCCAGTATTGGGCCGTATAGATTTTCGTACTTGGGTGGTTACCTCCACGTGGTGCATCTTGGAAACAATGTCCTTGAAAAGTTTTTAAGAACTTAAAATTTCAATTAAATTGGCTAAATACTGTTGGTACTCGAGAGCTATGAAATTTTTAATTTTGAGCAATGTAAAAATTATTGATTTAAAATAAAATATTTCAAAGAAATAATATTAGTTTTTCAGTATATTTATGTTTGAATTTTTTTGTTGATTTCAAATTTTTTAAAAATTCGAATATATAGAAGGTTTTGTTAAAAAATACTGTTGATACGAAATACTTTCGGTGGCGCACCACTAGATTTTAGAACACCGCCGAAAGCTAGTATTTCAATAAATAATGAAACAATTATTTATTTTTGAAATATTCAAGGATCATATAGAATCACAAGTGACTGATCAGGAATCAACGATAGAAATGTGGAATTGCTCGTTTGATGAAAAAATAGATTCAGCTCTCGAAAGTCACGTGACCTATTCTATTCTCAAAATTCGTAAACTTGCCGAAACGTTCAAAAGTAAATTAAAAGTTTCTAATATTTATTTTGAATTTTTTAAAAAAATTTAATTAATTTAATTTAGTAAATTAATAGTAATAATATTAATAACAAGAATAATAAAAAAATTTAATTATAATTAATTTATTTAAACTATGTATAAACATAAATTACCTTTCTAAATAAATAAATAACTAACTAATTAACAATAAATCAGATGTGGATATGGAAAAATTGAAAACAATTCAAGAATTGAAGAGCGAAATAGAAATAAAGAATTTGGAAATAAAAAAATTGACGAAATTAAATAATGAAAATATTCGACGCAGCGAAGATTTGTATGAGAAAGAAAAATTCAATCTTGATGAAAAAAATAAAATGAAAGAGGAAATTCACTCCTATAAATTAAATTTATTTGATTTAAATGAAGAATATAGGACTTTACAACTGCAAGCTCAAAAATTGCATGATGATAAAAATATTCTACTCAAAAATTATGAAAAAGCTCAAAAAGAAATTGAATTTAGAAATGAAGATTTAGTGCGGATTCAAAATTCTAAACAAAAAATACAAGAATTGCAGTTAAGGTTAAAAAGATTTTTGATAATTTTTAATTAAAAAATTAATAAGGTTCTGGACACATTTCAGTCTATAATATTTTTCATTATACTTTTATTTTCGTCTACTGAATTAAATAAAAATTTTATTTCTTAAAATTTAGATTGAAATCTTTGCAAGTGAAGAATGAAATACTGGAGAAAGATTTAGAATCACAACAATTAGAAGCACAACAAATAATTGAAGATGAAAGAATTAAGTTTGAAAATTTACAAAACGAGAAAGAAAGAATTGAACATTTATTTGAAAAAATTGAAAAAGAAATTGAATTGAAAGATAGTTTAATTGGAAATTTAAGAGATGAGAATTCTGATCTTGCTGAAAAGGTAGAAAGATTCGAGAAAAATGTCATGGTTATTGAAGAAAAATTAAAATACACAAGTAGTAAAACATTGAAAGAATTACAAAAAAAAGTGGACATTTTAAATGAAGAAAAAATGCAAAATATAATTGAGGAAAATAAAAATCTCACGTGTTGCATTGATATTTTGAAAGAACAATTCAAAAAAATTATTACAGCAGAAAAAATTGAAAATAAAGTCACAATTGACATTGAACGTTCGAATAAAATGATGAAAAATGTTGATCGCTTCAGAGAAAATTATGAAAATCAAATTCTTCAAGAAAAGGTAAATTAATTATTAAAACTTTTTATTAATAAAATTGATTGTTTGAGGCACAATATCATTAACTTTTGTGTAAATAAATTATTTATTTTATTCTTTTTTTCAATTTTTTTTTTAAACCAAAGTTTTCTTTATTAAATACAAAATTCTTCTTTTAATTCAAAAATTTATTTAAAAAAGTTTCAATTAATTTAGAATAAGTTATCAATGTGAAATTGAAAAATGATTTAATTTTATTGTATTTTCAAAAAGGAAAGAAAAATTGAGTCAATCGTCTCAAAAGATATAACAGAAGAAAATAATTCACCTTCGATTGATTGTTTAAGCGAGAAAACGAAAAACCACTTGGAGAATGAAAATCGACAAAGAGAAGGTGAAATTGAAAAATTAAAGTGTCAATTAAATGAAAAGAATGTAGAAATTCAAACATTAGAGGTAATTGTAAAAAATTATTAAAGCCTAGAGAAATTTTTTTCCGCATTTATGGGTATATTGGAATATTTTTAAAAAATTAGCAAATGAACACTAAAAATGTTGTAAATTAAAAAATTAAAAAAAAAATTTTTAATATACAAATTATTTATACGTATATTTAAAAAATATAGACAAATACTTAGACAATAAAAAATTCATCATTTACTTAATGTTAAATGTTTTTAATATGTTTTTAAAAAGGAAAAACATAAACAAATGCTGATAACTGTAACAAAAAAGAAAGTCGAAGAAATAAAAAATTTAAAAAATTATCACGACCAAAAAATACAAAAGCTGGAAGATAATTTTAATAAGTGGAATAATGATGGATTATCTTTTGGTACAGAAAATTGGCTCGAGGTATTTCTTAAAAAATATATAAATCAATATTTATTCATTATGAACATTAAAAAATTAATAATTTCCCATTACTTCAAATTATAATTTTACAATTTTTACATTTCATTAATCAAAATTTATGAGTAATCTTTTTTCGGCTCTAGTCTCTCAATATTGAAGAATTAAAAATGTTGTGTCAGCGAATTGCTTCCCTCTTGCCAGTTGAGGAATTATCGAAAATTTTCAGCAATAAACAAAATAAAAGTCTTCAGGAACATTTAAGCGAAAAACAAGAACTAATTGATAAAGTGATGGAATTGGAAAAACATATTTTAAAATTGAAAAATCAGAATAAAATCAAAGGTTTATTATTAATTAGAGAAATATTCAATATAAGTTAGAAAAAAATAATTGAAAATAATTCATTAATACGTAGTATTAATTTCTCTTTCTAAGTACTATTCCTAAGTAGTGTTTGTCTTTTCATAATCAAATTAAAAGAATGTTGTTTCTACATAAAATAGTATTGTTCAAAATTTATTAAATGAAAATTTTTACTATTTTTTGTCAAATAGTTGAAGAACTGGAATTAAAACTTGATCAGGAGAGATGCAAATCTGCAAGACTTCAAAAGCATTTGTCACAAACTTATGACGATGGAATTAGTAAAGAAGCGAAATTTTATCAATCTTTAGTCGAGCAAAATTATATAAAAAATAGGTTTGTAAATAAGTCACATTTTTTTTATTTATCTATTTATTATATTTTTTAAAATAAATTCTATAAAATTCGACTAATTAATCAATAATATAATTAATTATTATACTTAACAGATTTCAAAATAAGTATGAATATCTAATGAAATTTAGTAGTTAGAATTTTTATTTGACAGAATTCGATAGGTAGAATTTTTGTTGAATCGAATTTAAATTAATCCGAATTAACCTTAATTAACAAAATTTTAATTTCTGAGAATCTTTATTTTAACGATTTATTATTTGATAGAATTCTTAAAACTACGATTTTTTTTGATCGAAATTGAAATTGACCAAACAAACAACTAATAAAAAAGATTTCGGCACAATTTTTAAAATTAATGAATATAAAATTGTCATGGAAATTGTGATTGGACAATTTTTTTAATTTTTGCCGACATATCTTTCTGTCGGTCAATTGTAATTTCGGTCAAATGTAAAATCGGCATATCAAGAATTCTGTGAAATTATTATTAGTGTGAATAAAAATTCGAACAAATCAAAATTCGAACTCACTTAAAAGTTTGTTGAATATGAGAATTGTGCTACATTGAAATTTGAACAGAATTCTTTTAAATAAAAAAATATTTAAAGAGAAAATCTGTTAAATTAAAATTCGGTGACCTACAAATTCTGTTAAACATTCTTTTTAAAAAATTCAGTCAAATGCTAGTTCAATGAAATGAAAATTCGGCTAAATAAATTTTACAAAATGAAATTTTTTAAAATAACAAACTTTAACTGATGAATTTTATGGGATATTCATGTGCCCCTAAAAAAACACTTTTATCAAAATTGTTTAAATACTATGCAGATCTTTATATTATCAGTCAGGGAGAAAAAAAATTTTATTGGATAGAAAAGCATTCTCTGGTGATGAATGTGTGAGTATTTTGAGTAAAATTTATTATTTAAATTATTGTACCTACTTAAATTTTTTGATAATTTATAACTGATGTAAATTGTTTAATATAATTATTGTAATTATAATTTAATTTTATAATAATTGAAAATATATAAAATTATTATTATTACATATTTTTTGCATGAAAATATTTTTAAATTCCTAAAAAAAATAATTATAATTTTATTTCAGAATGACAATAGAAGTACGAATTTTATTCATTTATGTAGTAAAAATATGCGACGTAAATAATTTGTTTTTTTTTCAATGAAAAGCTACTGAGAGAAATTTCATCAATACTACATTACTAACACATGAAAAAGAAATTCGCAATGTTTGTGTTTAATAAGAGAATACATTTTATGCATTGAAAAAAGTGGTTGCCTATATATTTTTATCTAAACATTTTGAAAAAAGTTGTATTCTTTTTTTTTATAAACATTTACACATCCTCTGTATGTTAAAATGCGAAATAGAAAAATATTAAAAATTATTGCACACATCTATAAATAATCAGGGGAAATATGTACATAATATTTACATTTTTGTAATAAATTAAAATTTATTTTTTTTAAACAATTTGATTTTTTAATTATACTTACCTATACAAGAACAAAATGTTTTCCATCATGCATACAAAAAAAATTTTTTTTTTTGGTATTTCAAAAATTTTTTCACGAAAAATAATTATGATTTTTAATATACAACAAAACTAAATCTTTTGAAATTGAAAATTTAGATAGATAAATAAATAATTATAGTTGTTAGTTATTTGAATATGAATTTTTTTTAATCCCTGCTTTTTATAAAATTTGAATTTAACAAAATTTTTTGGATTTAAAATTAAAAATTTTTCTTTTTCTTTGGTGATTTTAAGTTTTTATTATTGTTCACGGTGGGTCTGAATAAAGTTCAACCTAAAAGTGCTTGCGTATCAAAATTTCTTCCTGATTTCTTTTCTAGGGTGTCTCCTGATAACTTTGAGCTCAAAAAAGAAAAAATCGCTTGGGCCCTTTTTGAAAAAACTCATTTTTTCGATATTTTGAAAATATCACTAAACATATTTTTTAAGAAAATGGATAATAGTAAGGTTATTAAAGTTTTAAATCATTTAAATTAACATTAAATTCCATTGCATTTTAACCAGTTAAAGACCTATACGTAAATTAAAGCTTATAAAATTTTCTGTAAATTAAAAAAAAATTGATCGAATAATCTTTAAAACTGTTGGAGTTATGACCTGCAGAGTGCGAAAAATTTCCAAACAAAAAATAATAATTTCAGGTTTTGTGAAATAACTAGTTTCCAGTAAATCTAAAAATACTTCTACTTTGAAACAATTAATGTTGACATAATTTTGAGGAAATCAAAAAAAAATATAGCCTTCCAGCTTAATTAGAACCGAAGTTATGACCGTCTGAAAATTACTCTCTTTCGTTTTACTTCTCTAACATTTCTTTTTTAATATTCTTGCTATTATGATGTTATATTCATTGATCATTGGCAGTCAAAAATATAAAAAAGAAGATGGATATAATTTTAAAATGGGAATCTTGTCACATACATATTTTTTATTTAAAATAGTTGATCTTATAGAAATAAAAATTAATAAAACGAAAGAGAGTAATTTTCAGACGGTCATAACTTCGGTTCTAATTAAGCTGGAAGGCTATTTTTTTTTGATTTCCTCAAAATTATGTCAACTTTAATTGTTTCAAAGTAGAAGTATTTTTAGATTTACTGGAAACTAGTTATTTCACAAAATCTGAAATTATTATTTTTTGTTTGGAAATTTTTCGCACTCTGCACAGTTTTAAAGATTATTATTCGATCAATTTTTTTTTAATTTACAGAAAATTTTATAAGCTTTAATTTACGTATAGGTCTTTAACTGGTTAAAATGCAATGGAAGAGAGTAATTTTCAAAAAACTGACTTTTTAACACATTTTACACGGTTTTTCAGGTTTATTTGTGGATTTTATTTGTTGCAAGGAATTCAGCACCTAGGGACTTTTCATTTATGTTAATTTAAATGATTTAAAACTTTAATAACCTTACTATTATCAATTTTCTTAAAAAATATGTTTAGTGATATTTTCAAAATATCGAAAAAATGAGTTTTTTCAAAAAGGGCCCAAGCGATTTTTTCTTTTTTGGGCTCAAAGTTATCAGGAGACACCCTAGAAAAGAAATCAGGAAGAAATTTTGATACGCAAGCACTTTTGGGTTTATTCAGACCCACCGTGTGTTATATTATAAACTATATTTAAATTAGTTTTCGAATTTTTACTAATAGTGAGAAAATTGTTAGCGTATAAAATTACCATTATAAAATAAAATTAAACTTTTTGCATTTCTTTACGATATGTAATTATAATTATCTAATTTATATATTTTAAATTAATTTGATCAAATTAATTGTTTCTATAAGTAGATTTGATTTTTAACAAATAAGACCTTTGATTACAAAAAATTATCATTTCCAAGAAGCGGTTTAATATAACGTTCACGACATATATATATATTATGTATGTAAAAAATAAGTGTGTACACGTGTCTTACGTCAGAAAGTCAGGTTAGGTTGTGGTTATGTTTAGTAGTGGTAACAATGCTGCTATTTTCCCGCTTATCTTTTGTTATATTTTAATATTTTTTATACTTTAAATAGAAAGAAATAAAAAATGTGTTTATAAATATTTATAGCTTTTTTATAAAGATATTATTGAAAAATTAAGTCAAATGATTTTTGTGAAAGATCAAATTTTTAAATGTGTAATTAAAGTTTTATAAGGAAAAGTTTTTTCGACAATAAAGGAAAATTCTTGCCTGTGTGAGTAAAGTACAGTGATGTCATGTGCATCAAACGTATATTTAATTAATTTAATTAAAAGTGCATAAAAACAACTTGTAACTTGTAAAAGAAATCTTATACAATTCAATTGTACAAAAATTCAATTAAATCTAAAAATCTTAAATATGTATAAGTCTTACAAAACTCGCCACTAATTTTTAAAATTCTTCGACAAGTTAATAATTTTCAATAATATTAATCATTTTAATTCAAATAATTTTTATCAAGTTTTTCTAAAGTTCAATTATTTAAAACATTTTTAAGTAAAAATTCTCCCATTTTAGATAAGATATATAATTTTTAAAAAGTGGTTGAAATTTTTTTTAATCATTTTGCTTTTGCCAAAATTATGAATTCGTAAAAGGTTAGTATTTTCCCAATTTCATTAAAAGAAAACATTTATAATTTTAAACTTTAAAGTAAATTATAAAATTTTATATTTAAAATTCAAAAATGTAATGTACGATCAAGGTTAAACAATTTCAAAAATTGAAAAATAAAAATTAATGAAAAATGCACGCTCCTCCACTTTTTTGGAATATGCTGGTCCACAGTTAATAATTCGCACTGTATATCTTTTAGAAAATCCAAAAGTATTAAATTTATAAAAAAAAATTAAATTGTTTTATCAATTGAAAATTAAGTTTTAAATTTAAGATGGAGAGTAGTCAGTGTTGGACAGTGGTCAGGGTTGAGCAACATCGCGTTTATTTTGTTTTATCACACTAGAGCTATCTGTTTTTGTATGTAAGTATTTGTTAGCAATGTCAGGGAACTTTTCACATACATACGTTGCATTGAAGTGTGCGAACAATAAAGACGTATTATGCGAGTCAGTGCTATACGATCAACAAAAAACTTTTTGTTGTTTCAAAAGAAGACAATTAAGTGCAGAAAAAATATGTCAAAAACAAAGTAACTTAACTAAAATTGTTCATTAAGATGTTATATGAAAATGTGGAACGTAATATGATGTTTGGATCACGCGTATATTTTTGTGTGTGATGTGACGCTAAACGACGCGTGAGTCAGGGTTGAGCCACCAAAAAATTTTGCAATTATGAAGGGGGTTCTTGCAACTTCATTTCCATTGGAAAGAAAGGAAATACAAATTTTTGATAATCTTTTTTCACTTTTCAGAAGGTCATTATTAATCATTTATCTGCATATTTAATTGATTTTCTACAGATGACTACTTTTTTTTTTTTAATTGACTATAACTCCGAAACTTTTGGTCAAATATTTTTACAATGTTCAGTAAAAACATTAAATTTTAGTAGATCTTTCGAACCATAATATATGCGAGAAATCTCAAAATTCTGCCTACAGGGGAAGTTATAGAGAAAAGTCAAAACTATGTTCAACCCTGACTATACACTCCCTTACTATTGCAGTTATATACAGCAGAAGTACTTGCAAAATTAAGTGGGAAATCAACTTTGTAGATACATTTAAGGGGAGATTACGGTGATTTTGAGGCTTTTTTCAAATATATTTTTATAGTAAAACAAAAGAAATTTATTAGTAACAATTTTTTATGATAAAATATACATTTTAACTTTTTTCATTTTTCGCCAACAATTTTGCAACTTAAATTGTTTATAACTTTTATAACCATTAATGGATTTTAAAAATCCTAGTTTACACGAAAACTATACATGTAAGGAACATACTGTTCAAATTTGAAATTAATTGGTTGAATAGTTTTAAAATGAGAGTGTGACAAAGTTGAAAATATGCAGTTTTGAAAAAAACGCGTTTAAAGTTTTTTAAGTAGAAATTAAGCAAAAAAGTGATTCTTACTTAATCGGCAATACCGGCTACATACATAGATCCTTCTTTGGCTTCAAAAAGATCATTTTCAAGTAATCTAATGCCAGTCAAGTAGAAGTGAGTGCCTCTGTGCCATTTACTGCTACCGGACCGGCATAAACGCGTGCGTTCGCACGCTCGGTGAGTTGTTACATGTTGCGACTCAATATTTATATCAGTTCTAGACCTTGGAAATACTTTAGACTAATTTTTCCGTGTTTTTAAATAGTTATACTAACCAAAAATGAAAAAAAAAAATTTCGATTTTTTGAAAAAAATCACCGCAATCTCCCCTTAAGCATTAGTTTTGAAATAGCAACAATAATGTGTTTAAACAATTGTTGTTGAAATTTTTTTAAATAAACCATTATTTATCGCAGTTCTTGTCAATAAAAGTTATAAAATTAAAAAAAAACATCATTTTCCAGATATTTTTAACAACAGTTTTTCAATAACAACAATATATTGTTTAAACAAATTGAAAATGATCTAAAAATACATTTAATAATATTTGTTTAAGTTGTAAATAAAAAATCTTGCAAAAAATACTATAAAAAATATTAATAAACATTTTCTAACGATTTTTCCCTGATTTTGCATTTTTAGGGGTTTTTTGGGGCTTCTCAAACAATAGTTATTATTGAAAAATTCATAAATAAATTATTGGATCTTATTCCTTGAACATTTATCAAGAAAAATAGAGTAGTCCGATAAAATAATATTCATTTTTCATCATTTCATAGCGAATCTACGAAAAAACGTTTTTTTCCCATGCAAAATACATGTAAAAATTCAAGTGCTTTGATGCACCATTAAATATTAATTTTAAAAAAATACGTATCTCTTATTTTTCGATGCTTTACAAAATGAGGGGTTACGAACTTTAAAATTCGAAAATTTGGTTTTTATAAGGACTACCCTAGAGTGGAACTTGCACTGGAACAATTTTTTTTTGCTTCCTTTTTATTTATTATACATAACTTTTTGGAAAAAATGTCACCTTTCAAGCGAAGCTGAAGTACGCAACGTTTATGATAAACGATTTTTAAAGAAAAAATTTTTTAAAATGAAAAATTCTATAATTCAATGGAAATACTAAAAAAATTTGCCCAAATGGGTAAGAACAGAAAAATAAGGATTAGTTTTGAAAAAAAAGGTTGAAAATATTTTTTTTTTGAAAATTTTGTTGCAACTATTCAAAAGTACTTGAAAAATTCTTTAAAATTTATTATATATAAATTAAAATTTTTAAAGTTTTGTCATTGTTATACCGATTTTATCTGGCTTTAACAAAATTTTCGAACTTAAGTATATGTCCAAATGCACTGCATTCTTCTTCTAACTCCAAGCTCTGATATTTTATAAAAAAGGTAACCATTAATTTCAGAAAATACCATATCCGATGTATTAAAGTGTACTCTTTTTGAATATGCTATCGAAAAAAGTTTAAATAATTGTTTATTATTTCTTTTTATTATTCAATTGCAAAATCACAAGATCTTTCATAATTTTTTTTTAAATCTATAAAGTTCGATGGGAAAACATTTTTTTGATTACCATCGAAAGTACATAAATCGTGCTCCAGATAGGTTTTACAATCAGATTTTAAAAATTCAAAATTTCGGATTCAATATGCATAACTCAAAATAAAAAATCTTTCAGATTGTCATGAAACTTGTTATTCTGGGGTTTTTGTGTCATAAAATTTGTATTTAACATAATTAAAATCTTTTTATAAAAAGTTTCACAATAATCCGATCGAATCTTGACTTTTTTCGTTTGCCATATTAGATCTGCCATTTTGATTTTTTTTAAACTAAATTAAAATTCCTGATTAGCGACTCAGAAATTCCTCGAACTCCTTTAGTATTGGAAGTTTTCCTTTCGTGTAGATACTTCATTATTCTTTCCTTAGAATACATAAATACACTTCAAATTTACCATTGACAATTATCTATAATAAACAAAAATGTTTAGATTCATGGAAAAGTTTTTTTTACACTGAAAGAAAAGAATGGTTGAGGTTCCCATTTTTGAGATGACTGTTTTTAGATAGTAAACTATACTGCTGCTAATTTATTAGTTGTGGTTACTATTTTTACTGGTTGGAATAATTATTTTATTAGTTGGTTTAAATAATTAGTTTTTTGGAATAACTATTTAATTAGTTACCTTACTACCAAAATGGTTAGGCTGATCAACTAAATGGTAACAGTAACTAATATAAATTAGCAGAAATACTCTTCCCGGCTGAAAAAACTTGTACAAGAAAATGTACAAGTTAATGTACATGTTCAAGTAATGTTCTTGAACAAGTTCAGCATCCGGTATTGAGACATGTTCTTGTACCAGAACTTGTACAAGATCCTGGACAAGAAAATATACTTCTACAAGAAAATGTTCTTGTACATATTTTTTGTGCAGGTTTCATGTACATTTTCTTGTACCAGATGTAAAACATGTTCTTGTACATGTTCATTTATGTTTTTTAAATTCAAAATTAAAAACTTTAAAGGCTGCGCATTAGTTTTCTTAAGCCGTTACAGCTGTGCAATAATTTTTAGCATGCATAAGTGCAGACTCTTAATAATTATAACTTATTAAAATTTCAATTTTTTTTAGAACATTTTTAAACAAATGTTCTTGTACAAGAACATAAACGTGTTCATGTAAAAGTACTTGTACATGAAACCTGCAAAAAAATATGTACAAGAACATGTCTCAATTCCGGATGCTGAAGTTGTTCAAGAATATTACTTAAACATGTACAAGAAAATGTAGAAGTTCACTAATGAACATGTACAAGAACTTGTACATTTTCTTGTACAAGTTTTTTCAGCCGAGTTACTAACGAAATGGTAATCACAACCAATCGTTCCTCTCAGTGTAAGTAAAATAATATATAAATATTTTTTAGTTTTGAAATTTTTCTTTTCAAAAAAATCAGTTAAAAAAATTAACAATTAAAGTAATTCTAATCATAATTGGTTAAATAATTTTAGAATATTATTATACGATAAATAAATAAAATTTTAACGGTACGCATCTATTTGACATAAAAAATTTATATAACTTTACCGCGTAATAACTTTTCGTGCAAATTGAAATCAGACAATCAGTAATGTTTGTAATTTTACCATTATAGCTTTTTCTTCGTTAGATTGCTTATTAATAATAATGTTATTAATAATAATGACAACTCATTTTTCTACATTTCTTATATTCCTTAGTCAATTTTCATCATTATTCGCATCAGATTTTGATTTTTTGGTATCTCATTTCTCTTACTGTGACTTGCAATACTGTGAATACTGTGATTGCAAGGCAAACTTCCTTTTACCAGTACTTTCTGCTTAAATGGATACTGAAAAACATATTTCAATTTTATATATTAAGTAAGCCGCTCTACACGCAAAAAAAATTGTTCTTTCTTTTTTTAAAAGTCGTCAGCTATTCAAATTTACTAAAATTTTCAATTCAAAATCTCCTGTTTAATGAATTCTAAAAATCTGGACTTTAACTCCTCTGAAATTCAATTATTTTTTAAATTTTTATTTAAAATTCTTCGCCAAGTTAATTATTTTCAATAATTATAATCAAGTACTAAAATTTAATTGTTTAAAATATTTTTTAATTATTCAATTGAAAATTTGTTAATTTTAAAAAATTTAATTTTGAAATATGATAAACTTGAACATTTTCTTAGTTTATTAATCATAATATTATGGCTTTATTTTTTTTTCTGTAAGAAATTAATAATCAAAAGTAGGAGGATTTGGAACTTATTTAGTAACCTCGAATTTTGTACTTCTCAAAAAATATTATTCTCCAAAGAGTATTTAATATTTGACATTAAGACTTACCAAAAGGATACATTTCTTGATTCTATACTAGAAAATGATATAGTTACAGAAATATTCGTCTTTAAAACAATAATCTTATTGCTTGCAACTATTTTTTGGGATCTCCTAAAACTTTGTTGTTTTATAGATATTTTAATATTGATAAACTTTAGTTCCGATTAAAACTTGACGTAAGTGTTTTGCTTCGTTTTGGAAATATAAATAAGTTAAAATTTTTTTATTTAAGAAAGTTAAGTTCCATCTGTCTAGTTTCGAATTACAGGAAATAAATATTAATTTATTAACTTCAAGTGATAATTTAACAATAAAATATTAACCTTTTTTATGTATAAATTTGTAAATTAAATATCTAATATAGAAAACAAATCACTTACGTCAAATAATAGTAACTAAATTATATCAATATTATTAAAATATCTGCAAAACTTCAAATTTTTAGGAAATCCTAAAAAATAGTTACAGCTCTGAAAAATTTCAAACATTTTTCATGAAATAAAATTTTAAATAGGATTCTTGTTTTAAAGATGAATATTTTTTTGCAACTTTTTTATCATTTTCTAGTACAGAATCAAGATAATAATTTGATCCTCAAAGGACAATAACTACAACTGAATATTTAGATTATAAATATACTTACGAAATATATAACAATGCCATCAGAGTCACGAATAATTTCTCTCGTTCTTATATCATATTTGTGAAAATGTTTTTGACAAACAAATGATGATTAACTTATTTTGGTATTTAAAATAATTTCCCATTTTTCTCTTATTTGATCATGAGCGGGTACTTTAAAAAGAATTAATTTTTCGTCTTCGCTATTTTCGCCGCGGGTTTTGCAATTCTTCACACAACAGCATCTTTTCATTTTAAATAATTATGTACATACATTATTTGTTGTTTGTAAAGAATTTTGTTTTTATTTATGTCTACTGAAAATCTCGAATTCAAGAAAGTCGAATATCAAAAATCTCGAATAGCTTTAAACACTGAATATAACATAGAGGGGCATACTCGCCTGAATATAAAGGTCAACGCAGAACAGATTGTCGATAGTTGCTCTCATGAACGTAGTAGCTGTTCACTGCCATCGATGGCAGTAATTCCGGTAATTCCGAATTGGGAGTTAATGGGACCAGCATTATTCGGATTCCCGCTTACATGAGATTTTTTTCGGTTAATAATTTATTATTTATTTATATTTAATAATTTTTCTTTATAATTATTAATAATTTATTTCTTTTACATTTATTTTAGATTATTAAAATTTTATTGCCTTTGAGTTGTAATTTGATAAGAAAAAACACTTTAAATGAAATTTTTTTGGGATATAACACTTCTCCTGATATATCGGATACATGCTTACACGAAATATTTTTCCTAGTGCCTTGAAATCCAATATACGTGGGTTGCACTGTAGATGATTAAAAATTAACAAGATGGTAAAAATTTTGCAAAATAAAAAAAAGTAGGTAAAATTTTTTTGAAAAATGAAAATATAAAAAATTACCGACACAGAAATCTACCTTACCGACTGAGTCAGTAATTTTTTATATTTTCATTTTTAAAAACCTGTTTTACCATTAGTCGCTGAGGTAGATTTCTATGTCGGTAAATATTTTTATTTTTCAAAAAATTTCTTCATCATCAGTCGGTAAGGTAGATTTCTGTGTCGTTATTTTTTTATATTATAATTTTTCAAAAAAAACCTGTTTTACCGTCAATCGGTAAGGTAGATTTTTATGTCGGTTAATTTGTATATTTTCATTTTCCATAAAATTTATTTACCGCCAGTCGGTAAGGTAGATTTTTGTGTTGTTAAATTTTATATTTTCATTTTTTAAGAAACTGTTTACTATCAGTCGGTAAAGTAGATGTCTATGTCGGTAATTTTTTATATTTTTAGTTTTTAAAAAACCTGTTTTACCATCGGTTGGTAAGGTTTCAAAAAATTTTTCGACGTGCCTGAGCTGGGTCCCTCGGACCCAGACAATTTGCTTTTTCATCTACTTTTATTTAAGAAATTTTTTTTTCAAAATCGTTATCAAATTGAACCTCCCAATTCTGTAACTCGTTTAGCGATCGGACGAACGCTCTATTAGTAGTCGGGTAGCAGCGAGCGTCAATGGTTCCCTCGCTGCTACCCGACTACCAATAGAGCGTGCGGCCGAGCGCTAAATGAGTTACACAATTGGAAGGTTCAAGTGTATAAGCTGATGCTATAACGTACATTTTTTTTAAAAGAGAGCATTTTTTATGTACAACTCGGTGTAATACATTATATTGTAGTTCTGGTATTTAAAATTATTTAAAATTCGTCCGCCATATTGAATCCTTCATTATAAATTTTGAAAAACGGACACCGGATTCTTCATCAGCGACCCAAAAACCCCCGAGTAACGATTTTCAAGCGAATATTTTTTGAAAATTTTGCAATTATATTTGCAAAATATTACAATTATAATTTAGAATTAAAATATTCAATATCCTGCTATTAAATCTTGTTTTTTTTATGGAATTTAAGCAGCTGCGTCTAAAGTATTTCCAAGGTCTAAAACTGATATAAATTGAGTAGCAACATGCAACAATTTACCGAGCGCGCGAATGCACGCGTTTATTCTGGTCGGGTAGCAGTAAATGGCTCATTGTCAGAGACTGCACTCACTGCTACTTGACTAGCATTAGATTACTTGAAAATGATCTTTTAGATGCCGAAAAAGGAACTATGTATAGAGCCAAAATCGACGATTGAGTAAGAATCACTTTTTTGTTTAATTTCTACTTAAAAACCTTTAAACGCGTTTTTCTCGAAACTGGAAATTTGTAAACTAGGGTCTTTAAAATCCATTAATATTTTTAAAAGTTATATAAACAATTTAAGTTGCAAAATTCTTGTCGAAAAATGTCAAACTTTTAAAGTGTACCACTTTTGGCAGACATTTTTTAATAGAGTATTTAAAAAAATTAATTTCGACTCTTTAAGATGTATATATTATTATAAAAAATGGTAACTAATAAATATTTTTTTTACCATACAAAAAAAAATCTTTGAAAAAAACCTCGAAATCACCGTAATCTTTTCATAAGCCAATGGAAACTCGGGGCCACGGTGGTAATCGCTCTACTTTCTGTGACTTTACCAACGTAGGTGACGTCACGGTAGACATCTCTATTAAAATCGCTTCAGAAGAAACGCAGAATGTTAAAATATCACGTCTAAAATGTAAGGACTTTTAGATTCGGAAAATTTCTGTTTTACCAGCTTCGCTATTATATATTTTGGTTAGAAAAAGTTTCATCTTTCTTATAAAAATACAAGAAAAGAAGAAAAAATTGCCCAAGAGAGTAAAAACTAAAAAATAATTTTTTCCTTTATTTTTATTTATTTTTTTAATATCGATTTTTGTCAAAATGTCATGTCATTTATAACAAAAATTTCATTTTTCAAAGAAAATTGACTCCGCCAATTACTATTCGGGGGCGCTGATTACAATTCCCATGTCAATTTTTAAAAATTCAAAATGGCAGATCCAATATGGCGGACGAAAAAATTAAAAATTTATCGGATTTACATGAAACATGTTACTAGAGGGTTTTCGGGGTCGCTGATTACGAATATGATGTTAGTTTTTCATTTTTTCTTTAAAATTGAAAATGACGGATCCAATATGGCGTAATTTTTTTTAAAAATGGTCAGTTTTGCTTGAAACTTGTTATTCGGGGATTTTTGGGGTTGCTCATTACAAATATGATGTCAGATTTTCAAAATTTAAAATGGCGGATTCAACGTTGCAAATGTTCCTAAAACGTTTTAGGCAAAAACAAATTGTTGTACTGCAATCATCACTACAACATTTTAGAAATGTTTCTACAACTATAATCTCTATTTTAATCAGCTACCCCGAAAACCCCCTAGCAACAAGTTTTATATAAATTCGTTAAATTTTTTCGTCCGCCATATTGGAACCACTATTTTAAATTTTAAAATTATTGCAAATTTCAAATCAACTTCGTAATCAGCGAGCTCGAAATTCACCTAGCAAGAAATTTTATATAAAACCGAGTAATTTTTAATATTTTTGTACGCCATATTGAAATCGCCATTGTGAAATGTTGAAAACTGACATCTTATTCGTAATTTGCGACCTCAAAAATTTCCGACTATTGATTTATAAGATTGTTATTTGCGCTTTCTGAATTCATTTTTCAATCATATTAAATTTTCTTACTGTTGCCATGTAAAAAAAAGTTCCATGTTTTTTTCGACTTAAAACTAGTAGGATATTATTTCTAACGCACCCTGAGGGACTATTTAGGCAACAAAAAAAAATTCGATTTTTCTAAAGTGCTTGCGTAAATAAAATGTATACAAAATACATGAGGTTCAGATAAAATTTCAAATGATATTTATATTTAAATTTATCGAATTTCATATTTTTTTAAAATAATAAATGATTTTGCGAAAGTCTACTATTTTTTTTGAAGTAAATAATTTTTTCTAAAAGCAGTTATTAATTTATTTGTTTTTAATTCTCATACGTCGTCAATGTAATAGAAAAAAAAATATATTTATTATAAAAAAATTTATTATTTTTTTATAGTATAATAAATGTTAATTAATATAAATTTAAAAATAATGTTTCACTAAACTAAATATTTTTTGTATTTAAAAAATTTAATCTTTTCTAATTTCAGAAAATGAGTCTCGAAACAGATGCAATTTCTTGTTCGCAAATGGCAAATATGTCCAAAGATAAAATAAATTTTACAATATTTCCAACTATTGAGAACAATCTTGATCGACAGGAAAAAATTTCTATAATGTTTCTCTCAACATCAGAGAAGAATTTATTGCAAGCTTATAAAATTATTACAGACTTACTGGAAAAATATGAAAATAATGTACTTTATCAATGGTTCTCAATGGATATTAATAAAGAAAATTGGGAAGAAAAACTCTTGGAGTCATTACTATTAATAAAGAATTTTCAAGTCATTAGGGAATTGGGTTTCACGGGGTCTGAAGAAGAACTTTTTAGAAAACAATTTCAAATTAACGAAAGGGAAGTTTCCCCTAATTTAAACAGAGTATTGAAATCTCTTTACTTTTTATGCGACGATCTTAGCGACGAAGAGACAAAAAAATTAGTTAGTCAATTTGAAGGAATTGATATTCATCATGAGGAACTGGAATTATATTTACTTCATTGGATCCAAATTAATTGTATTACTGTTTCAGGTAGTACTAAAAATGATTAATTTGTTAATAATTATATTATATAAAATATAATTATTAGTTTATTATAAAATAAATAATTTAATTCGAATTTTTACAATTCTAATAACATGGACTTAATTTTAATTTAATTACCTAAATTATTTGTACATATATACAAATGTTTTAGAGTCGAGTGGAAATTTAAAGACACTTCTACAACATCTGAAAAAAATGCATTTTGACATTGACAGTAAAACTTATTTAAGTTTAGAAAATTGGAATGAAAGAGAAAAAAGAAATGAAATCTCAAAAATTCCAAGGAATATGCAAGACGCCTTGCAAAGCTTAGATAACAGTTTACCGATGGATGACAGTTTTACTGAAACGCGAGTTAATAAAGTTGTTCAAAATAAAGATGAAATTTACGATTTTAAGAAAGGTCTTTGCTTTATTATAAATGAAGAAAAATTTGACACAAGGGTAAGAATTTAATAATAATCTGTCAAATAAAAAGTGGAGAAAATGTATTCGATCGAATTAATTTAATGAATCAAATTATTATTAGTGGAATTATTTTTCAGTGGGGTAAGCGAGAGGGATCTCAAAAAGATGTTGAAAAGTTAAAAGAAACTTTCGAAAAATTTGGATATGACATTATCGTTGAAAAGAATTTGACGGAAAAAGAAATTCGTGAAAAATTAAAATCTCTCAGCAATTACACAAAAAAGAATTACGATTGTATTGTTCTTTGTATTTTGAGTCATGGCGAGAAAAGTACGAATCTGCTTGTATAATAAATCTTAGAAATGATATTTTTATCAATTTTTATTATATAATTGAATCTCCTAATTCAATAACACGATCTGCGCTCGGACGCACGCTCTATTGGTAGAGCTTTTATAGGATACTTTTTCTAAAATTAGTTTCCCAACAATTTTTTTTCCAACAACGACAACTTTTACAAAAAAATTTATTTATTATTGAATTGGTAGGTTCAATTGTATAATTGTTAATTTAATTTTTTGACTAATTAAAAACTTTAATTTTACAGGAACGATTGTCACGAAAGATGGAAAATCTTTGTCGCTTGATGATATAAGAAATTTAATTTGCACTATGCAATTAAAAAACGTAGTGAAAATCGTATTAGTCCAAGCTTGTCAAGGGGAGTATTTAGGTACATCGATATATTTGTAAATATTTTGTAATTAACCCCTTGACTGTCGATGGCCCATATATGTCCAAAAAAAGTCGGGCCACCTTTGTGATTTTGGACATATATGTCCATATTAGAAAAAAAATACTAAACATAATTAGAATTGAGTGTCAATGTGTATACTAAGGTTTTCGGGGTCGCTGAATCCGAATTTGAGGTCAGAATTAAAAAATTCAAAATGGTGGACCCAATATGGCGGAAAAATTACAAATTTATTCGATTCGTTCAAAATTCGGTACTCGGGGGTTTTTGGGGTCGCTGAATCCAAATTTGAGGTCAGATTTGGATTCAGCGACCCAAAAAACCCCCCAAGTATCGAATTTTGAACGAATCAAATCAATTAAAAATTTTTTCTCCATATTGGGTCCGCCATTTTGAATTTTTTAAATCTGACCTCAAATTCGGATTCAGCGACCCCAAAAATCTTTAATATGATGATATAAAATTTTTTTGGAAACTTTTTTTTTTACCGTTTTGGGCCCATAAACGATTTTTCTACTCGACTGCGAAGGGGTTAATGTATTTTTTCTTCCACTGCTACTTCCCTCATTTTTTTCACCTTTATCATTGCTTCTATATTCTTAAACTTCTCGATTTGATTTATTTTTTTACAACATTCCACATAGATTTTCACATGAAAAATCCGGGCGGATTTTTTCAGCTGAGGTTCTACCATCCATTTTTCCAAATTCTCCACTCTTATTTTTCAGTGCCCCATTTCTTACCTCCTCCTTTGCATTCTTCAATTCATTTAAAATATTTTTTTAAAATTTGAAACTTAAAAATTTTAATTTCAGGTCACGATACAACTGATGGACCTTCGTCAGAGGAAATTTTATCTGTTAGCGATAGTCCTTATAAACAAAGCACACACAAATTGATGAACAACATTCAATTCGCTGATTTAGCAATGTTTGTTGCGACTATTAAAAATTTTAAAAGTATTAGAAACACCGGCCAAGGTACTAAAAGTGAAAGATTTCCTTATTTTCATACAGAGTGTATCAAAAAACAAGTTGTTCATTTCATGACGATTTAGCTTCCTCATCCGACTTGCATTGCAAGTTTTGCAAGTTTGAAGCAAGCTTGCAATGTCCCACCCTTTGCAAACTTTACAATAAGTCGGCTGCAAGTCTACTGCAAGCTATCTGCAAACTAATTAATTATTAATTTAATTTTAGACACAAGTTCCCTTTAATATGTATTTGAATCCATAGCTGGAAGGTAAAAAAATGTACTGCGCAGCCCTTATATGTTATAGAAATGAACTTGCGTCTGATTTTAGATATTGATGACTGTAATAAGCCTAAAAAATTTCAAGACAATCCATCCAAGTGTATTAGGATGCAGTCCCATGACGGCGAGAATGCAGAATGCAAAGCCGAAAACCATGAGTGCAAAAGAGATGGAAAAATATCGCTATCCTTTTCACTCTCATGATTTTCAACTTTGCATTCTGCATTCGCGCCGTCATGGGACTGCACCCTTAGAGATAATTTGTACACAAGATTTTGTGACATACACACACACATATACATCTGGACATTTGTTTAAAACTTAAAATATATGCATTCTAGATAAAAATAAGCCCATATAACCCATTTTTAAAAAATCGAAAATCGTCACGAATACAAAGCTTCCTCGGGAGGAGAGGAAGCAAAAACCGGGACGGTTGAATATCTCTTGATTTTATTTTAGAGAAAAACGGCAAGGGAAAAAGTTGTTCAGAATAAAAAAATCTATTAAAATATGGGACTCGCGATCAGATCCAAGGACTCAATTTGTTCCTTTACCGGTTTTCTCTAAAATAAAATCTTTAAGAGATATCCAATCTTGGCTTTTTTGATACACTCTGTATACACATAGATATATTCTTCCTTGAGAAGTTTTTCAAAAAATATTAGTTTTAAAGTTATAATCTTTGATATATTCTGAAGAGAACAGCTGATTGGCTGACGAAATGTAAATAAATAAATTAACGTACAACCTATAATTTTTAATGAAATCTGTCAAAATCATAATTAATTAAAGTGAAATTGATTATTAATATGTAGTTGAAATTATATTGATGAATTTAAATTTTTTCTTTTAGGTTCCTGGTTTATTCAAACATTATGTAAAGTACTCGAAGACGAAGAAAGAATCACGTGGAAAAAGTTGTCCCTTAAAGTCAAAAATATAGTTTCTAATCAAAGAGGAGAAGTCTGTGAAGGCAAAATGCGATACCCGAATATTACTCAAATTCCAGAAATTGTTGAAGATAGTTTAACTAAGGATTTTATATTTCAGAAAGTAAGGTCGAAATCAGAAAATTAGATTTTTATTTCATTATTATTATAAGTTTTATTTTGAATGATATTTATAACAATAGTGCAGCGTGATACACGTCGTGATTTTATTTGTATATTAACATTTTAAAGATGTAAAATGATTTACTCGACTCTTTTAATAATTTTCAGTTAATTTAATTTTCTTCTTATGGCTAGTTAATTTTTACTAATTACACAGCCCTTCAAAAAAGAGTGTCGAGGTTCGGAGATCAGAGTACCCTACCCCCATGTATTTTGGGTCGCTGAACATGAATTTATAGTCTATATTTTCATGAAACTTTTTTCTTGTGGCTTCATACTTTACATTCGCCAAGTCACCAACCAATGTAAAGCTGTGGTCATTTGATGAAGAAGCCTTCGGGCCCACTTTCTCATCCTTAGCCGCCGATTCTATGGGTTTTAGAATCCCTGTCTCGTAATTGTTTCTTATCTATGTCTGCCATGACGGCATCTAGGCCGTTATTTAGGGACTTAGCCGGAGAGCGGACAAACTCCGTTGCCCACCGTCACCACGTGGAGGTGCCTTGGACGCAGACACAAATAAGAAATTATTTCACTACTTTGGACTAAAGTTCTATTCGTAGTAGGTAGTTCTTCTTAAATAGCACGTCGCATACAATATACTTACCTCCAAGTAACAAATTCATGAAAATATATCAATCTTTAAGAAAATTTCTTAAAAAATCACCAATTTTCAAAATATTTAACCACTATATTGGATCGGCCATTTTGAATTTTGAAAATCTGACTACAGATTCGTAATCAGCGACCTCGAAAATCCCCGTGTAACAAGTTTCAATCGAATTCAATGAATTTATAAAAATTTCTCCACCTTATTGGATCCGCCATTTTGAATATTGAAAATCTGACTTCAGATTTGTAATCAGCGACCTTGAAAATCCCTGAGTAATAAGTTTCAAGGGAATTCAATAAATTTTTAAAAATTCGTCCGCTATTTTGAATTTTAAAAATCTGACATCAGATTCGTAATCAGCGACCTCAAAAACCCCTGGATATCAAGTTTCATATAAATCCAATTTAAAAAAAAAATTTGACAAGTTTTTTGACGTTAAAAGATATCCAGACCCCCAGGAGCAAAATGAACTTCAAATTCGTGTTCAACGGCCCAAAATTCATGGGGGTAGGGTACTCTGATCCCCGAACCCCGACTTTTTTTGGTGGGGCTGTGTTATCAATTAATTTACATTTTTTGAAAAAAATATTTATTTAAAATTTTCTTCTACAATGAAATATTTATAGAAAATGTAAATCTACAAAATATAAACATTTAGCAAAACTGATTTTTTTTTTGGCATTTTAAAGTCTATAAAAAAATAAAAAAAAAAGAAATAGAGAGACACTAATTATTAGTGTCTCTCTATTTCTCTCTTTCGCGATAATCTATAGCTCACAACGAATCAAAAAAACATTTTAAACGGTTTTACAAAACTAAAATTTTTATAATCTTCTTTTACAATAACAAATATTTGCATCATTTTTAGAAAAAATTAATAACTTAAATTTCGTTTGCTAGAAATTATTGACAATTTTTTGGTAGTCAATGAATATCCACTCTTTTATATAAACTTAATTGTGAAAAAAAAATTTCAAAAATTTTTAATAACAATTTTATAAACAATTTGTAATTGTAATACCGAAATTTTTCGATCTTAATTTTTTTGATGTATCTTTATGTTTTTCGACCTCAGGAATCCAAAAATCACATTTTTAAAAAATGTCGTTCCTTGTGTGTGTATATATATACACTACATTTTCTTAAATATCTCGAATACTATAAGAGCTAAAGGGATTAACACTTTTTTTTTTTCATTTAAAATTTTTTAAAAAATCGTTTTTTGCCCATAAGTTATAAAAAATGTTAGGACACCTATGAATATTTTTCTTTTATTTTGTAGAATTTTTTAAGACGCATTTGTTGAGATGTTAGCGAACATTCTACTGATATTCTATCCAAAGTTATTGAATTTTTAAAAATTAAAGAAAAACGTTTTTTGCCCATAACTTAAAAAAATGAATTGACACCAATAGCTATTTATCTCTAGTTTTGTAGAGTTTTTCAAGACGCATCTTTTAACCTATTATAGCGAATATCCTACTGTTATTTTATCCAGAGTTATTAAGTTTTTGAAATTTAAAATTTTTAAAAACTTACCTTCTTTGCCTTATTTATTAAAAAATATTTATGTATCTTTAAAAGTATTACGAACAACTTGGAGAATATTTAAAAACGAATCAATTGACCTTATTGAACCTTTTATTGTGAAATATTACGAAGTTATTGATGTTAAAAATCTATCTCTGCAAATACCCAAAAATACAACTTAACACCTTCTTAAAATTATTATAATACCAAATAAGTTACCATAAATTGATAAAAAAAAATCTCCATGGGGAAGCAAAGTGTTCATAAAATGAACACAAAAAGTTCATACTTCAACTTGGCAGCGGTTTTTATACTTTCTTTAGCAGAGATTATAATGAAATTTATATGTAACATACCTTGGACTATTGTCTTTATATTCCTGAAAAACAGTCTAGAGCTTAAAAATCTCAACCGATTTTAGAATGTTTTAAAAATTATCTTTAATAAAATTGTAAGAGATCCCTCGATCCCGATATTTGATTTTCAATTTGCACAAATAATTAAGAAAGAAACCGTTTTTTACATATTACTCTTTTTATTTTCAATAAAAATGTAAGTTTTTATGGTTAGGTGCTTAAATTATTAAAATAATAATAATAATAATAACAATTCACTGATTGTGAGTAAATTGTATCCCATCCCATATAACAAATGATAACATTTTCTCGAACTCTCCCTGTACCCCAAAACGTAATTTATGGACGGCGCCAAACACAAATTATAATATTAAGGAATAGAACCTACCACATGGAAGTCCTGGCAATTGAAATTTTTTTTTGCTTGCCGGTGTAATTGAAACTTATTTTTCTATAAATACCAAGTAGGAAATATAAACTGATGCTGATCCGTCGCGTTAACCATAAAATATTACGAATATCGAGTATTGTCAAAATTTTAGAAAAATAAATGGAACGCAAAAACGACTAACTTGAAGTTCGTTCAGACGGAATGAATGAATGAATAGGGAGATTATTATATGTTATTTATTATTTATTATTGTAATATTAACCCGAACTATTTCCCTGAGGCAGACATTTTAATATGACATTACTTTTATATTAATGTAATGTTATGTGCTACTTAGGTGGCTTATTTGTTCAGAAATAAAATTTAATTTTAATAATTATTTGTCGATTAAATTTATCGATATACTTAATTTCTAAATTATCTGAGAATGTTATTGTTAAGTATTACAATTTTAAAAGTTATTTGTGTTAGTTTTAAAATAACTATAATAATAATAAAGGTTTTTAGTTAAATTATATAAAAATGATAACCACGTTATTAATTGTCGAATGTTTGGCGGAAGAAAATAGGTTCATATCGTTTAGAATTAGCGATGAGTTGAGGTAATGACGTGTACTTGAGCAACTGGATATTTAACGCTTTATCAATCTTCTCGTGAGTTATTAATGACATTTGCTGACTCAGTGTATCGGCTTCGAAAGCGGTATCTTCAAAGTTTAATATCCGAAGAACAGAGTCTCTCGTCCAATGTAGTTGATATATATATTATATACATACATACATATAACACTTCTGTCGGCATTCAGGATCCAATATTCGACTCTTGGAGTATAAATAATTACTTCAAAAAAGGTTGATTTAATTTTACGAAAGTATCAATTGGACTCACTATTAAGTGACGGTCAATACTACCAAAAGAAGAAATTAAATTAACTTAAAACACTGATATTATATTAACATGTTTTTTCCGCTAAGAATAATGACTTGCAATTTTACGAAAACTTTGAAATATTAATTAAACAATCTTGTCTACTTTGTGATTTAAATTATAGAATATGGAAAAATTAATTTAGAGTCTTATTTTTCAAAAGGTTTAAGGGAGAAAAGTTGAAAGAATTTACATTACCGTCAAATTAAAAACTTTGGGAGTGTTTAAAACAACGCGCTCTTTCAAAGAAACTAATAAAATAACTCTCTGATTCTGTGATTTGCAATTTCTGCGTTAAACCTTAAAAGATACGATTTAGACAATTCTCCCCTATTTGTCTGGTGGATATGAATATAATATTTCAAGGATCTCTGGTACCGCCCTTGAAATTAAATTTGGCATCACTTTTGAATTTGTTTCCATTAGCTCGACTCGTTGGTGCGGGTTCCCGTTCTGCACTCTAGATAAGCCAAGGCTTTGTACTTTTTAAACGGCGAGAAATTGCGGGAGGGTGAAAATCACACACACACATTCTATTTTCTTTCTTTTTCTCTCCTTCTGACTCTTACTCACTTTATTCGAATGCCTTTAAAACTGAATTGCACCCTTCAGTGAAAGTTCGCGCCACCAAATGAAGTTAAGGGGCGCGCGACGCGCGACAGACAATCCCCCATATTATATATGATATCGATATTTTGTATAATGGCCCTCATAAAATATTTCATCCCGCACTTTTGAGCTTGAAAATATATCAAAATTTTATCCGCAAACTGTGAGTTTTCGTTTTTAAAATGTTATAAGGGTGTATATATATTGTATGACTTTTTGCAGTAGGTCGACAATTTAAAGAGCAAAATCCAGGAATTCAGTTTTTATACATTTATTGCTCGGATCTCATATATAATTTTTAATAATGACTTTCTAAAAGTGTTAATGACATGTCAAATAAATCCTTATTAACGTTATATGGCACGAACACATCACATGTGGAAGAATTTCCAAAATTCTAATAAGTAAACTGTAACGTAAAATAAAGTATTGGTATAAAAATGAAAAAAATATTTTCAATAATTTTGTATAGAATAAAGTAGATATTTATAATTATAGACACATAAAAAACCTG